ATTTTCATATGTAATATTTATCTTTAATTATCCTTAATATCTTTAGATCTTTTTATTTTATCTAGCTTTTGTTTTGATTTTGAGAGAGAGACTTTTAAGGGGTATTCAATTTTTAATCTTCTGACTTTTTATATGTTGAGGAATATAAAATCTTATTTACATTGTTATTAATCTTTTGCATATAGTTAATTAAAAAAAATTGAAAATTTCATTTACAAATTTATGCAAAAATCAATTCTTTAACAATTAAAATAAAAAAAAAGGTTATAAAATGATTTATTAACAATAAACATTCAAATATTATTCTCATTCGAGCAATTTATTCATATTACCAAACTTAAAAAAATAATTATAAATATATAAAAGAATATTATAAATCATATAAATATACATCACAATACTACAGATAATAATCCATCTGATAATTCAAATAAAAATTTATCTATTTCAGTTTAAAAACTCTCAATACAACTTTTATCAGATTTAATCTAAAAATATTAATATACTTTACCTCCAACAACACTTCAGTTGAATTTGATTAGGTTGAGATATTTGATATTATGATTGCTAAGTTTTGGCCATTAATCAAATAGGATAATAACCCAATGTTTATTGTTTTTGAAACATTTTAAGCAATCAAATCAAGATTTAAATTTGATTTAATTGAATATTAAAATACTTGATTTGTATTATCTAAGATAACAGTTGCAAATGGCTAAGATAATAATTTTTTATAAAGCTATAAATAATTTCCTTCTAAATAACATTTTATAATTAAAGATGTATCATAAGTTATATATTAAAAACAATTCTATGATAAATACAAAAATGTATTAGGAATAAGAAATTCAAGCATACTAATTCTATAATTTTATGTTCTGATAGCAAAAGACAATGAAGATTCATTCTTGATATCTTATAATATTAAATCAAAAGCAAAATGCATAGAGAGCTTTGGATTTACTTTTACAACATAAAACAATTATTTTTCTTAATAGGATGGCAATTCTTCTATAAGTTTATAATTATTTTAGATATAAGAATTTCTATCTAATAATATTTTGATTCCTAAATTATCTAATTTAAATGGACAATTGTTGATTACTCTGATTCCTAAACATATGCAAGACTTTTATAAATCTAATGTGTGAGAACAATAAATTTATACAAAATCACTAACTCCAGTAATTAATTTTTAGTTTAATTATAATTCAGTAAATATATTTTTTTAAGGTAATTGCAAAGATCTTAAATTCATTATGAGAGTGTTTTATTCAAAGGAAAATTACTTTTATTAAAATATATTGTAAGCTATTTAATAAGTTGTTAGATTTTATAAGTTTTGATTAGTAGAATCAATTTAATTATTAATCTTAATTTATAATATATCTTGTTGGAGCTAATCTTTGTATTAAAGTGATTTTACAAAATTTCTATTATATTCAATTAATTATTCTGCTATATGATCATTTTTTCTTTATTATAAATTATCATTATAATCTGAAAGCAATTCAAGTATTTATTGTTTGATTTGATTTTCAGGTGTATGAAAATTTATTGATAAATAATATAAAATCTTATATACATTTTACAATAGATTAAGTTAACAAATTTAAGTTTAAATAGGTTAAATCATAAAAGTTCTGAATTCAGCTAAGATATTAATATAATCTAATTTGCAATTTTAGCTACTTTCTGTGAATTTTTTTGTAATAATTAATAGTGTTTAAATTTTTTGGTTGAAGCTTATTTAATTGTTATTCATTCTAATAATGAGATCTTCTAATCTTATTTCATCAGATGGGATAACATTAATACATTTTTCTATCAATAATAAATACATAATAATAGCTTCAATATTGCAACCATCCCAAATAAAAGCATGACAGATTTCCATAATTTCTAATAAAATAGATTTATTTGTTTCTTAATGAATAGCAGCTATGATTAAGCAGCAAATTAGTTCTTCAGGTTCATCTTTTATTTTTGTTAGAAACCAAGTCTAATTATATAACCCTAAGATTGCACTTGTCTTTTTTTAGTAAAGCAATTCAATCGATTTTTAAATTAAATTATTGAAACAATAAAGAAGAAATAACAATCGAGTTAATTAGTTTGATATAAGGAAAGATATCTCTAAAATTCTTATAGATATTGCTATATTTGTATTCAAATCCATATCCAACTAAAGAATTTATAGTAAAATTTGGTTTAATTCTTTTTTATAATTCACTTTCTTTATATATTTATCTATGTAATCAAAAAGTTACCATACAATCTAGCTTGTATTAAAAAATTCATATGATTTACATTGAGAAATAACATTGATAAGAAAATTGGAAACTTATACAATGATTTCTATTTCAAAATTATATTATAGAATATCATATAATCCAGCTTTAATAATTTTGCTATTAAAATCTATGACATTTATCTTATGAATAAGTGTATTTTAGTTTTATTAGACTGTATTTTGTTACTATATTTATTTAGGTGAATCAACCAAAATCTAAGATAATAATAATAACATCTTGGATCTAATACGAACTTCATAGCTACAAATTTTTTCATAAAGCAATTCAAGTCTTAATAAGAGATACTATTTAATTTATTGTGTGTCATAATTGACTTATGTAAGATTGTTTGGATTCTATAATTTACACTATAAAAATTCTGATAAACAGATTATACAATTAGCTGATATGTCTCTGTTATTAGAAAAACAATTTTCAGCTATTCTCAAGTAAATATTAGTTATTGTTTGTTTTGGCATATCAATTGAATCTACTTCTGTTTCTTTTGTAAGCAATAATTGTAAAATAGAATTAACTGCACACAACCTTTCATAATGAAAATCAAAAGACCTAATGAATATTGAGATTATACTATTCTATAATCTAATAAAATGCTGTGTCATATGATTTAACAATTTGCATAAGATTACTAATTGGTAAGGAATATGCTAATTTGAGTGAGAGTAATTGTATTTCAAAATCTTTATTGCTAAAATCTTTCTCTAATTCTAAACAAACAAGTTCAGATGAAGGAAAGGTCTTAAGTAATGGATAACAATTTAATTTTAATATTCTATGTATTGGATTTTTGTAAATATCTATAATTTTAGCAAAATCTTTAGGATTAGCTGATGATTCCGAGAGATAACTCTATAAACCTCTTAAATAATTCAATTATTTCTTAACTTCCACTTCAATATTCTCCATTATTAATTTATATATATAATAAATAGTTATAATGAATATCAAAATACAATGCAGCCACATCCACCTTTTTTGGCAGATGATTATTATGTATTTTAACCTTACTATTGTTTATCATTTTATTATTAATTTTAAACTATTGGACTTAATCTAGTGACAGCTTCTTTAGCTTCAATATTACCAGCTTATGCTGCTTATTTATACCAGTATAATGCCTATTATAAATTTTATTTAGTTCCAGTTCCTTCTTCATAAAGAACAGCAAGATTATACTAAGCATTTTCAAAACCTCCTTTTGCTGCTTAGAAGTACCATTCAAAGGCTTCAATTGGATTTGATTACAATTGTACAGTGGCTAAATTGGTCATAGCACATAAATCTCCTTTATCTGCTGCCATTCTATAATATTTTTTAGCCTCTTCAATTTAAACATGAGTACCAATACCAGATCTATAAATATTACCAAGATTGTTCATGGCAGATACTGATCCCTTTAAATTATAAAAATGGAATAAATACTAATTTAGCAGCCTTTTCAAACCAAGCTCTACTCTTTTCAAAATCTTATTCTACTCCTTATCCAAATAAATGCATTAAACCTAATTAGAACATTCCTTATTCATTTTATAATTCAGCTGCTTTACTAAAGTATTTATGAGCAATTTTATAATCAGGAGCAACAACTCTACCTAAATAGTAAATAGATGCTAGATTATATGCTGCTTAAGCATGTTTACTAGCAGCTAATTAATACCTATAAAGTAAATAAGTCAAAATACCATTAAATACATTCTTAAATATTTTATTATGCACCTTTTCCATCTTCATACATCAATCCTACTCTGAATTATGCATCACTATCACCTTCTTATGCAAGTTTAAGATAATGCTGCATTTCATCATAATCTGTTGTTTATTGCATGAGATTATAAAAATTAAATTAACAAATGTATTAAAATCATATTTCAATTTTTTATTAAAAAGTTATTCAAAAACACTAACAGGACCTTATGGATCTAAGATTTAATTTAATTTTAAATTATTTCTAAATTATTGTTATTTATTATATATCTTTTTCTCATTTTTAGCTTTAGATTCAATAAATTGATATCTTTTATTATATACTGATTTTGTCTAATTGATTTAAGATATCTAAGGATTAAAATTAATTGAGGATTGCTGAGATTTTTTTATAATTTATAATTCAAGATTTTAATTACTTTAATGGCTAGTTGATTGAGCAAGAAAGAATATGAACTTTAGATTTTGAGTTTTCTATTTTTTAATAAATCAAATATGTTATTAGTTACAATTAGAGTTTAGTTGAACCATATATTGAAATAAATATTCTATAAAAGTTATAGTAGACTAATAAGTTCTTATTAAATAGGAAATATAACTAGCATAAATTTTTTTTATCTTTCCTTTATTTATTCTGTAAAAATATATAAAATCAAAATTTAAAATTGTATTTTTATGTTCTTTATCTACTAAGAATTATCGAAATTTATAATTTTTTCATTACTTTATTTATAGTTTTGAACTTATCGAATAAAGTTACTGAGGGATATAATATTAAATTTAAGCCTTCTTAATTTGTAATTATGAAACATTAATTTTCAAAGTATTAAATGTTAATTCAAAGTTTATTAACATATTCTTTATATATATTTTTATAAAAACATTAAAATAACAAATTTACAAAATAGTTTAAAACTTATAATGAATAAATCCTATGATAAAATATGTTTTAATATCAATTATTCTGTAATAATTCTGTATAAGAATTCAATTTATTATTTAAGAGCATTTATTTTAGTATAATATATTGTGAAGCAGATCAAATTAAAGAAAAAATCCAAAAAGATGATTATTAAAGTACAAAATAAAACTACAATCTTATTATCAAACCTGAGAATAAAAAAATATCAAAACTTTTCTAAAGTTAAAATAATATTGAATAAAAAACAAGATTTCATTAAAATAACCTTGACGAATCAAATAGAATTGTTCAGGGCTCATCAAAAAATACAATGACTAGTTTTCAATCTCAAAAGTAAATATAGGATGGCAAAAATGAAAAATCAAATTATATTTTATAAAATTATAAGCTTGAATTGTTTTATAAAATTTCTCATAAAAAAATTGCTTTTTGTTAATACCCTTATTTAATTTATTAAATGTAATATTTGTTTAAATTTTATAAGTAAATATGTCATATAGCTAGCAATTTTCAATTATATTGGTTGGTGACACATGTATGTATATAGTTATTATTCTATTTAGGTGTTGGTAAAACAAGTCTTCTTTACCGATTTAAAAATAGTGAATTCAAATAAAATTAGATATAAGCTACTTTTGGTGTGAATTTTGAATTGAAAATTATATAGTTGGATGATTTAAACATTCAATTAAAAATTTGGGACACAGTATTCTTAAATAACATATTTGTATAGGCTGGATAAGAAAGATGTTAATCTTTTACTAAATCTTTTTTTCGATCTACTCTTGGTGTAATAATGGTTTATGATATTACGAGAAGCTCTACCTTAAAAACTATTTCTCAATGGTTAGAATAAATTAAACAAGATGATAATTTTGATTTTAGTCTTACTCTTGTTGGTAATAAAAACGATTTGGAAGAATAGTAAATTATATATTCATAATTTTTAGACGAGAGGTTTCTAAAGCTGAAGCAATAACATTTGCAAGAAATAATGACATTGATTTTTTAGAAGTTAGTGTTAAAACAGGGGAAAATGTAGAAGAAGTATTTCTTAAGACTGCCAAAAATATTTTACAAAAAATAGATAATAATAAAATCGACCTCTCAAAATAAAGTAATGGAATCAGAATTGGATCAGAAATAAACATTAAAAAATAATTAAAGCTTCAGCCAAAAAGTAAAGAAAATAAAGGCTGTTGTTGAATATTGAATTAAACTTCTAAAAATATTATAATAGATTTATAAATAAATAATATATTTATATTATTTTTTTTTTTTAAATCTTTCCTTTCCATATTCAGTTAAAATTTATAAAATCAGAATTTACAATTGGATTTTTATTTTTTTGTCTTCTAAAATTTATAAAAGTTAACAATCTTTTCAATATTTAGTTTATAGTTTTTAAAATCATCAAATAGAGCTACAGAAAAATCTTCATATCAAATATCTAATTAATTGCTAATTTAATAATCAAATATTTTCAGATTTATAAATTCCAAATTTAACCCTCTTAGTCTTCTAATTATACAACAAGAATTTCCAAACTTAAATTTATTGCCAATTTTAATATATTAGAACAAAATAATATATAGTACTATCAATTCTAAATTTTGAAACTGTGTAAAAAAGATGATTATTAATGTACATAATTAAAACTAATCCTAACACCAAACAAAAGTAGGATTTTACTTTTTAAAAAATAATATTTTTCAAGCTCATAAAAAAATATTTCAAATAACTTTTATAATTATACAAACCTTTTTATAAATCGAAAATTAGTTTAAAGTCTTCAAAGTAAATAGTATTGATAACTATTAATATCAATTGTTATAAATAAATAGATCACAATTAGAAATTAACAGAGAGCTTATTTAAATTTCTATTCCTCAATATAAAATTAGTTTTTTTAATATCTGTCAAAAAAAAAAGAAACAAAAATTTGATGAAATAATTTTGAAAAATATATTTTTTAATTTTAAATCACAAAAAGAATCAAAATTTATTTTGTTCATAGAATTGAGTTGTCTTTGTTATTAAATCAAATTTATTATGAGATTCAATTAGAGTTTAAGTTTCATTATTTAATTTATTATGTCATATAGTTACAGCTTTAAACTTATATTGATAGGTGATTCAAGTTTTTATAAAATATATTCTATTTAGGTGTTGGTAAATCTTGTCTTGTTAAGCAATGCAATAGTAAATGCATAAAAAATAACGATGTCACTATTTGTATGGAAATCAGTACAAGCATTATAATGTTGGAAGATTAGAGTATTTAACTACAAATTTGGGATACAGTATTTTTTAAATCTATATTAAATAGGCAGGATCAGAGACTTACAGGTCGATTACTCGTTCTTATTATCGATCCACTGCTGGTGTAATAATAGTCTATGATATCACTAATAAAGAATCCTTTAAAAATGTTTCTCAATGGTTTGAAGATGTTAAGGAACATGGAAATAATCCTCAAATGACTTTTACTATTGTTGGTAATAAAAGCGATTTAGAAGCAGAGTAAATTATCTATTCCTAATCTTTAGTCGACAAGTTTCAAAAGGAGAAGCAATAACATTTGCAAGAAATAATGACATGGAATTTATAGAAGTGAGTGCTTTGATCGGGAATTATGTAGAAGATGTATTTCTTAAGACTGCCAAATAAATTTTAGAAAAAATTAATAAGAATGAAATCGACCCATAAAATGAAATTCATGGAATCAAAATTGGAAGAGAAAATGGAATTGATGATTCTTTTATTAGTAATAATAATAATACTCAATAATTATAATCAAAATCAAAAGATTAGGAAAAAAAAAGCTGTTGTTGAATCACACTTGAATTAAAAATCTATTTTTTATAATTATTAATAAATTCTTTATATATCAAATGTATATATTCAATTTTCTAAACTTTATAAATCAGAATTTAAAATTATATTGTTATAATCTTCTTAAAATTTAATCATTTTCTTTATGTTATTTACAGTTACTTAACTTATAAATAGATCTATTAAAAAATATTCAAATAAAATATCTAATCATTATCTTCATTAATAGTTCAAGTCAATTATTACGAAAAATTATTTAAATTATTATGACATAAGAGCTTAAATTAAAATATATATATTGATTAGTGATGCAAGTATATATATAAGTTACATTTTAATTTAGATTTTGTTCTCTTAAACAAATTATCTATATGTAATTTCTAAAAATGTCACACCATTTTAAATGCTTTAATGAGTCAAAGATAAATTGATCGATATAATAAAAAGTTTAATGGAAAAGAGTCAGTATGATTCTGTGAATATTTCTTCAATAAGCTTGTGCAACTTAATTTCAATATCAATGTAAGCCATCAGATTTTTCTACCTTGAAGAGATAAAAGAAATTTAAATCATTGAGACAAGAAAATTTGTGTCATCAAATATATCATTTTATAAATAGTGTTTTAGCTAGATAAAAAAAGTATTAGTAGTATAGCATATTTCAATAAAATAGTAGTTCAATAGAACTTATGTCAGAAGCAAGAAAGATCATGCTTTTTATTTTGGGCAGTTTTTAAAAGTAAGAGATAAATTCAATGTTATGTGTAAATTGTGATTTCTCTAGAAAATCCCTAAAACTGGATAGTAGAAGATTTTAAATTCAAACCAAGTTTTTTTGAACTTTAATTTAGATGATACTGAAATTAATAAGGGCATTAAATTAAAAGTGAGAATTTTTTAGTTTCCTAGTATAATATTTAGATTCTTTTTTACACTAAAATCGAAATGAGATTCTATTAAGATAGATATGTAAAGTAATTTAGACAACTGATGGTAATTACTTCTCTCTACTTTTTCAAAGAATTCATAAATTCTCTACCATGATTAAAATTTTTACATATATTTAATAGGATTCAATTAAGATAATAATAAATAAATTTGTCAAGTTTCTGAAAAATAATAAATCAAATAAAAAATTGATTTATGGTTTTTAATTTAGAATAAAAAAAAGTGCGAATAAATTATACATAAATAATTTCCCAATAAAATCAATAAACTTGTAATTTTAATACTGAATTTTTATTTAAAATTTGTTTAATCTTAAAGATTAAAATAAATATATATAATCTTACTTAATTAAATAAAAAATATAATACTATGTAAAAAATAATAGAAATTGATTGATCATAAAAAGAATAAAAGATCTTAAGTTTGAATATTTTATGGTTAATAGACAATAGGTTATTCTGCTTTGAATTTGAATATATTGTAATAGTTTGGTAAAGAATATATTAACTTTGATAATTATAAATTGGATGTTTGCTGATTTATATTTATTTTAATGAAATAAAAAATGTCTAAATCAACAATGTAGGATACAAAAATTTCATATGATGCTCCTCCTTTGGATTTCTCCAATTTAAATATCAAATCTTTAGGTGATTTAAAACATGCAATACCAAAATAAGGTAAACGTAAGTTAGCTCCAATGGATGAATAGAAGGAAGATAAGAAAAAGGAGAAATAATAATAATAATAATAAGAGAATGAGAATATTTAAGTGTAATAGAATCAATAGTAAGAATAAGAAGATGAGGATAAGTTAGATGGAGATGAGAAAGAGAAAGAGAAAAGGGAGTTATAGAGATAAAAGGAAGAGAAATTGACACCTGTAATAGTTCGTACTATTGGTTAACCTGTTTAATAATCAACAAATGTTTATAAGCCAACAATTGATGAGAAAAAATAAACAAAGAAAGAATTTTAAGTACAATTAATTTAATGTTCATTGATATTAAGTTATAATAAATTAACATCATTGCATAATTTTTACAATATCATCGATTAAATAATGATAAATTGTAAATAATTGTAATGGATTGATTTGTCACATAATATGATAGAAAGTTTAGATTATGTAATTGTTATAATTAAATAAAGAATTTTGGTGATTTACCAAATGTGAAGGCATTATACTTACATGCGAATAAATTAAAAGATATAATGGAATTTGATAAATTATAATGTTTGATAGAATTGAGAACATTGACTGTTCATGGAAATCCTTTTGATGCTATTCCAAATTTTAGATTGTACATAATTGGATTGTTACCTACGTTAAAAAAATTGGATAGTGTGTTGATATCTAGAAAAGAATTAGATAATGCTAATGTGTGGAGAAATACATTTAGAATGATTAAACCACCTATAATTAAAATATGAAACTTAATCTCGAAATTTTAAATTACGATAATCCACTTTCTAACTTCTTAGTTAAAATAAAGTATGGGACTTAAGTTCATCAAACAACTGTAGGAAACAATTGGAATTAAAAGTTTACATTAGATTTAAAGAAGACTGTTGATTTAAAAGTGGAAGTATGGTAGAAGGATGAAGAATTTCATTTGATTGGAGAATCTATAGTTCCAAAATAAGAATAGATTCATCATCTTGATATAGTAGGATAAGGCAAAAAAGAAGGAGTGTTAGTAGTAGAATATAAAGAATTGGATGTATAGAATGTTAAAGTAAATCATAAATTAGAAAAACCTTAATTATTGATTAAAAGATTAAATGATACATTGAATACAGAGATTCAATAGAATTATGGAAATATTAATGAATATTTCACTTAATAATTTGAAAATCTTGAATTGACCCAATAAGCTAAATAAACAGCTTCAAATTTAATGATTGAATCATTAGAAAGAGCTAGTTAAGGATTGTAGATTAATTAATATTAATATCATTTTGATGATCAAGATCCTAAGAACAATATTGAATAAACTAAAATTAAAGCACTTTAAAAAGAATTAATTAAAAAAGATCTATAGAAATATGAGAAGAGTAGAAGAGAAGTTAATTTATAAATTTTAGATATTGATGATATGGATATTAGATTTGAATAATAGGAATAGAAACAATAAATAATAAATGTGAGAAGAGAACTTGTATAAAAATTATTATATATTGAAGAGAAGATTGAACATCTTAAAAGACATTTAAAATTAGATTAGTTAAATAAAAATGCATCTTAATCTATTATTAATAGTATGGCTGAAATGAGTTAAATAAGTATTTATAGAGAACCAATTGTTAAACCAGAAGTAGATCCTTAAAAAGAATAATAAAGATAAGAATTTATTAAAAAATAAATGAAAGAATGGAATGAATTATAAGAATAAAGATTGAAGTAGATTGAAATTTAAAAAGAGAAGATTTAAAAGACTGAACAAAAAATAAGAAAGTAATAAGCTTTGATTTAAGAAGCAAAGACTAAAGAAAAGAGAGAAGAAATAGAATAAAGATTAAATAAATTAAGAGAAAAGTAAAAATAAAGAGAAGAAGATTTATAAGAATAAAATAGAAGATATTTAGAAAAAAAGAAATAATAACATCTTGCAGAAAAGTATGCACAATAGGATGCTTCTTATATGATTTAATTGTAAGAAATAAGAAAAAATAAATTAAAAGAAATGAAAAATCCTGAATTTGATATATAAGAAATTATGTAATTCGATAAAAAGATTAAAGATCTTAGAAGAGAGAAAGCAGCTTATAGATAGAAATAGTGGGATGAAAGAGAAAAACAATGGAATAAGTTTTAAGCATAATATTATTCATAAAGTTATAAGAGAGCTAGATAATATTATAAAGAATAAGATTTAAAAGTGGATGAATCTAAAATTAAAGCATAAGAAAGACTTAATTTACTTAGATCATATGATAATGAAGTTAAATAGAGATATTAACCTCATGTTTCTTAAGAAAAGAGATAGGAAATTGATGAAAATATAAGAAAAATTAAATATGAACCTGATTTTAAAAAATATAGAGAATTATCTGAAAAAGTTAAAGAAAAACATATTTATTTTGGAGTTGAACATAAGGATCAATCTGGAAATAAAAAAGTTAAACTTAAGCCATTAGAAAATATTCCTACTCCTATTTCTCCAAGACGTATAGGAGATTTTTATTTAAGAGAACATGCCACTTATAATAAAAAACATATTCCTCCTTTGCCAAGACCACCTGAACCACCTAAATCAAGTTAATCAGAATAAAAATTAGTTATTAAAGATTATTTGAAAGAATAGAGAATTAAAAAATAGTTAATTGAATAATAATCAGTAAATATTGTATTCTATAATAGTTAAAAAATATGAACCAAACTTAAGGATTAGAAAATGATGATTAAAAGATGATTATGCAGATTAAAAAATAATTAGAAAAACTGGATCATATTTGATATATTTTTATTATTCTCATAATTATTATATTACCTATTTTATTAAATAACGTTTATTAATTTTTAGTTTTTCTATAATTCACAATTTCATTTAAAATATTTTATATATTATTGTTTTAAATAAGATAGGTACATCAAGATTATCTAAATAATACAATGATCATATATATCTTAAAATTTTGTAAATTATTTTTATTTTAATAAATTAATCAGGTCAAATACTAATCAATGGACGAGGAGAAAAAATAATATAGTAAGATCAATAAAGAGATTAGGTAAGAGATTATTGATAAAATCTGCTTACAAAAAAAGCCTTTGTTAGAGGTAAATCAATCATTTTGAATATTTAAAAAGGTTGCTTAAGAGTATCAGTTATTGGCATCTACGTGTAAGTCAATCGTTAATACTTACATGAAAGAAGGTAGAGTTGGTAAAAAAGAATCCAGAATTCGTAAATTAAAAAAAGTAATTACCACATACCATATAATTTTAAATCCATTATAACCAATACTCTCTTAAGTATAAATATAAAAAAATGTCGAAAATTGTGTCGAGTAATCATAAAAAAGTAGACATGAAACTGAAGAGGTTTAAGATGAAAATAAATAAGAAATTCAATCTTTAGATTTATCAATATAATAATGGACTTAATCTTTATTAAACTAAATCCAAGCTTTAAATTAATAGTACAAGGATTCATAATTTATTCGTTAAAATTGAAATGATTAATATAGATTATATGCATATATATATATAATTTGTTTAATAATATGTATAAACTTCTATTATTCTTAAATTATTAAAAATATTTAACATTTTCATATATCTCTCCAATGTACTTTCATGCATTTAATTGTTTCAAAATAGTTTCCCTGAGTTTCCATCCAAAATTATTCCATAGTACTTTATGAAAACTCATCACATTTCCACATACCAGTTTGAATACCATATTCACAAAACGATCTAAACATATCTAGAGGAGCTCCAGTTAATTTGATCCCATATTTTTATGGTAGGAGTACATGTTTTGGTTAAAAGTCATGTTAGAACAATTTATAAATAGAAGAAGCTGTAATTTTTGTACCATTTTTAATTTTATGGCCATCAAAATGCATAAATAATCGAGGTAATGACATATGATATGGTGGTACATATCCCTGAAAATAATAAATTAGATAGAATTACTCTAAGATTTTTATCAGATTCATAACGAAAAGATGGTAATTATGATGGTCTATAAAACCAATTAATTCCATCAACAGCCACTAAAACTTTATATTTAGTAGTATTATAAAGTTGTTCCATAACTTCATATACGGCATTAGTAGCATAGTGTGCATTAGATATTCCATAATCAATAATTTCTGATAAATATTATGGTTTTGGTATTTTCAAGGTAATTCTTGCAGACATGATTTGATCTTATGCCTCTTCAAAATCTTTTTCTTCTTTATTAATAAATTATTCAAAATCTTTAAAATGATATTCTCTTCTTTTATCATATAAATTAGGACAAGGATCAGGATCATCATCATGAACACCACTCAAATTAAATTTACCATAAAGACTTAAATCAACTAAGAAGGTCTTTAAATGTTCTTAATTAGCTTCTTTAAATTATTCTAACCATTCTTAAGCTGCTTTTGGTTACATATATAATCCTGTCTTAGGATGTCTTTTAGCTTCATATTTTAATGATGTCCAACTAATATATTTAATTATAATTTATTACTTATATCCAGATGGAACTACTGCTACTATCCATCCAGTTTATTAAGCAAACATTATTGCCTACATTAATACTCCAGATTTACCAGCACCATGATCTCCATAAAATAGTAAATTACTTGAATATCCATAATATTATTCCTAATTATATTAATTCTTTATATACCCCAAATCTATTCTCTATCAATGTTTATGGAACTGGAAAAGGATTATTCACAAATTTAGTGAGATCTAATGTAAAGTCTTTGAATTTTAATGTTTTTACTGTAGAAAATAATAGTTCAGGCATTGATGCATTTGCTTATTCTTTATCAATCTTTTATAATAATTAATCAACTAAAGATTTAAAGAATTCTTTTCTTTATTCATTTGTTCTTAATTATTATACCAATTCCCAATGACTTAAAATCACTGTCAATAAAGCATCGAAATTCACACTTGTAGCAAATACTCTTTAAAATATTTCATTATTTCTATGTTTCTTAAGTTAATCATTGAAATCACCTTTCAAAACATTAAACATTACTATGAAAAATCCTTCCTTATTGAAATTTTCTTTAGATAATTTCTAATAATTGAATATTTATGGTATTCTTCTACTTGAATCCACATAATCCATTGTTTTAAAACCTTCAAGTGTCATCATAAGTGAAAAATTCTTTGATAATTCAATCAAATTTTTTTAAAAATCTCCTGGAGATAAATATTTAAAAGTTTTCTTAAATAATTCATAATTTAAAGGTATCCATTTTCCAATTTAAATTGGATTTAAATCTAACCAATTTTATAAAAACAACTTAGCCTTTTCTCTTGGCATACTACTTTTTGTATTATCCTCTAAATCTTTAATTGTAGATGGGTCAGGTTGCTATGCTAATTATTCTACTTATTTTCTTATGTAAGCCTAATTTAATTTTTTTTATTTACTTATGTAATTGATTCCCTTACAACTGGATCTACTTTTTGAAATACTTTCTCAAGCAAATCTAATTCTACTGATTGTTCAAGAGCAGGTAATACTTCATAAGTATACCTTTTGAATAAATCAACTTAATTAACTCTCTTTGGTGCTAAAACACCAGATTCCTTTTCAATTTATTCAGGCATTGAAAAAAATGGTTTTGTTTAATAAAATTTAGTCGTAGTTACTTTAGCCTATTAATAATGTTTCAATTTTAATTTTCTGAATGCTTCAGATGCAGCTAACTAAAATTATTATAATCATAATACTTACCTTCATAACTAAAATTTATTTTATTAATATAAGTAATGAATAAAACAATTATTACCTAAGAAATTTGTTATTAAATCTTCAAAATTTAAGCTTCTTATAAATCCTTTTCAGGTATAATTATTAAATCATCACAATAGATCCTCTTTTAAATTTAATTTTGATGAACTAAGTTAGTATTTGGTTTTATATAATTGGATGTTCAATCTCCTTAATTTTGGACACTTGCTTATTAATTATCTTCTTATATAAAAGTTAATTAAGATAAAGTCCAGGGGATATTTTTTTAGGCAGTTTTATATTTGAAATTCTTATGGCGATATAGTGGTATATATCTGCAATTTCTTCTTAAGAAAAGAAACCTTTAGCGAATAATTCATTAGAATGTTCGTTTGCTGCAGCTTTGACCTTGATTTCACGTATTAATAATTCACTTATGCTTCATTTAGACTTAGGATAATATTTTTATATATTGGCATTTTTCTATTTTCTAACAAGATAAGTAAAAACCAGTTTCAAAGCTAAAAATAACATTTAATGGTTAATACATCTAGGAGTCATAATATTGACATTGATAATTTGTGTTATAGTGTTTTCTTTGAGTTTGACAGGCAAAAATGTTGATGGAAAATGCTCGATTGTTACATCCTTGTTGGCAGAGTAAATTTAATGATTTACATAGTTATGTCATAACCTTAGGATATACTCTAACAATATTAATATACATCTCAATTGGTGGATATTCAATTTATTATATCAAAAAGAACATTCCAAACTAATATAAAGAAAGAGCATAAAAATTTCTAAAATTTAGTTTCATTTATTTTTTAACTTATCTTATTTTAATAATTTCAGCATAATTGGTTGAATTATTAGCTAGTTTAAGTTGTACATATCAATGGGACTTGAGATTGAATGCAATGTATGACACAGCAGCATTTTTTGATATTCTGATACTTATACTTTTACCTATAATTAGAATTAATGATCCTTACACTAAAAGAATATTGTTAAAGATGTTTGGATATAAAAAGAAATAAAAATAAATCATAGAAGAGAATGAACTAGAATTATCTAAAAATAATAGTAGTGTTGATTAAGATATTAGTCTTCTAACTAGTGGTATTACATAGAGATAATCAGAATTAATAATAAATAGAGAAAAATCTTAAACAGATGATAATCCATTTGTTAATGTACTTCAAAATAAAAAGAGAGGGTAAATTATGTGTAAAATGATTGCAGGACTTTAAATTGATTAATATTCTAAATACAATTCATTAGATATAGAAATTGTCAATCAGAAATCTGATAATATTTATGAGGAAAAAAAGATTTATAAATTTCTTAATGATTAAATCATTACAACTATGCCTTATAATTTATGTTAAGATTTTATTTCTTTAGTTGAAGATTATCCATAAATAAAGGTAGTTTCATATACTCCCATAATATTTCATGCAATTATGAATAGAGAAAATGATAAATTGGATATTTATGAATCTCTCAATATTAATAATAATTTTGAGAAGATCACAAATGCCAGTAAAAATGAAGGAGGCAAATCAGGATAGTTTTTCTTTTATTCTCAAGATAATTAATTGATTATTAAAACAGTTACTTAATAAGAATTAAAAATCATACTTTCTATGCTCAAAAATTATTTTTAATACATTTTATCTAATCCAAATACATTAATAGCTAAAATCTATGGTGTTTTCACTTTTGAATAAGAAAATCAAAAAAATATTAACATAATTGTTATGAGAAATATTGCAAAAACTTCCAATACATTTAGAATCTATGATCTTAAAGGCTCTAGTTATGATAGAGAAGTAGCAAAAAAAGATACTAATTTATAGAAGGTTGTACTAAAAGATTTAGATTTCTTGAATATTGAAAAATATTTATATATTTCCCAAGAAGATGCTAGTTATATTGCAGAAAATGCTATTAAAGATTCGAATTTCTTTAAGTCTTAAGGATTAATTGATTATTCTTTAATTGTTTTTAAGATTCTTAATGAAAAAAATTAAAATCTAATTCCAAAAAATCAAGCAAACACTTTTATGTGTGATGATATAAGATATAGATATCATATTGGTATTATTGATTATTTGTAAGAGTATAATGTATAGAAGTAATTTGAAAAATATTCAAAAAAAATTATTAAACTTAATTAAAATTTAGATACTAGTTCACAGGATCCTAAAATTTATGCTAATAGATTTTAATAATTTATTAGAAGAATCACTAAACATGAATGATATTAAATTTATACTTCATTATAAATTTTATTGTTAAATTATGAGTACTAATTGTTTAGACTTAATGGACCTACTCAATATAAACTAAATGGAAACAAATGATTACCTATTATTAAGCTAAAAAAAACACCAAAGGAATCCATCTCATTTAAATAAATCTTTTGCTCCATCAAATAAAACCATTTCTACCAGATAATATTCTTAATTAAGTTAACGAAAATAAACTATTGAAACTGGTTATCGTAGCATTGCTTATTCATCATAAATTTAAAGGGTTCAATAATCTAAATAAAACCATAGATCAATTTCATTAGTTCCAAATATGAATTAAATGCATTTGTCTTTTGAAAAAATGGAATTTAAAATGAATAAATTTTAATTGTCCTAACCTGAAGCAATTGAACAAAAGTACATGATTACAGGATTTTTGTAAATGAGTAAAGATTATTAAGCTATTATTTAAATTATCAATAATCAGATGTACGATCTAAATACTACTTTACTCTAATAATCTAGTCATAAGAAAGATGATTTAGAATTTTAAATAGATTCATATTTTTAGAAAAATTTTGATTTGTTGTCTGCTAAAGTTTTAGAATTTTATAAAATAAAAGAATGTTTTTATAGATTCATAAGGATGGGAATACAAGTATTTTTTTAATTCATAATTAGGAACCATATCATTAAAGAGTTTTAAAGAAAATTGAGATTTTAGAAAAGTAGAATTTCTTATTTGAATATTTTCAAATTTATTTGGAATTATTCAAATTTATGAAACTAAATTCTTTTGATTGTTTTAAAAATGACATCATTATTATACATAGTTTATAATAATCCCCCATTGAATTAAATTTTGGTGAACTATTTTTTGAAAAAATGTAAGAATTTAAGCAAAAAATTTTATTAATATCCTAAACTTAGGAATCATAAATTTTGAATAGAATTTTTTAGAATAAAATAGAACAAATTTAAAATTGGATATCATTGATTAAAAAGATGGCTAACTTTAAATATGCTTATTATATAAAATATTTATTAGTTTCATAATCTAGATTAAAAAAAATAATAAAAAGTAAAAAGCTTTATGATCAAATTATTTAATTAATGAAAGAAGCTGAATAATTTTAAGTTTGTAGTTTGACTTTAAACATATTTTATAAAGATGAAATCGAAAAATTTATATTCGAGTTTAATTAAATGAAACTTTAAATAATAGAATGGAATATACATTTATAAGAAGATGAATTATGTCAATAGGTGCTTATATTAATAAAATAAAATATTAAATTGAAAAGAATGAATAAAAATCTTGAAATCTTTAATTCAGTAATTTATGTTTTTTTAAATTTAAGTTAAAAGAAGGTGAAAATTTAGAAAAGAAACAGTAATTTTAAGGATAAGAATTGATATGTAAATTGAAGTTATCATTATAACTTAATAGTCATATTATAAATCAAATAAAAGAATCTTCAGAGATAAAAAGTGATGAGTACATTAAATATTAGTACAATAAATTTATTATTTTGAAAGACTATTTTTTAAATTTATATTATGATGCTTAATGATTAATATTCTCAAAAGATTATTTCAATTTTATATGAAAGTTAATAATTTTATTTTGTATGAATAAGTTGATGATTATGAACAATTATATTTTGGAATAAGTAATAAAGAAGAACGATAGTGTAAATAATTAAAGATGATTTACGGGTTGAATGTAAGGAAAACATTTAAATAAATAATTAAAAAAATGATTAAAAAAATAATTAAATAATAAAATAAATAATTAAAACCCATAATATATGAAAATTAATAATAATATATAAAGGAATAAAAAATACAATTAAATTTCATACCTTCTCGGCCTTTTGGCTAAGATCAAGTGTAGTATCTGTTCTTATCAGAGTGATATCTGATATCTCCTACGAGGAGAATGATATCACTGCAATTTTTAAATGGGGCTGGGTTTACTTGGGGCTTGCCCCGGTCCCAGCATAGTCGACCCTGACTTACACGACCTCGGGGAACGGCTAACCCGCTACTTTTTAATATTAAACAAACGAAATTTATTTTTATATATATTTAATATTATGATTAGAATTAAAGATGAAATGATGGAATAAAATATTTGAATAATTTAGTTTAGGTAGAGGAACTAATTAAAAAAAAGTTAGATTATATATTAAAATGTGAATTTAATAATTAAATAATAAATAATAGAATGTTTCGTATGTTTGATCCAATGTATTAGTCAATGAATTAGATCTTAGAGGAGAATGGAAATATTTTATGGTTGGGAGATTGCACTGCAGCATATGATAGAAATTTATTAGATGGAAGAGGAATAAAAACAGTATTAACAGTAGCAGCGGGATTAAATGTGTCTTATCCTGAAGGTGGAATTGTGCATAAAGTAAATTAAATTAGTATTGAAGGTGTATCATATACTAGATATAGAATCAGCTAATATTGCAAGACTTTTTGGTGATACTTGTAATTAGATTAGCGAAGGATTAAAAAGAGGAGGTGTATTAGTCCATTGTGCAGCAGGAGTATCAAGATCAGCTTCAGCAGTTATTGCTTATATAATGAAGACTAGAGGATTGAATTTTCAAGAGACATTCAATTATGTCCGAAAACGTAGAAGTGTTGTTTTTCCAAATTATGGGTTTTAAAGATAATTAAGAAATTATGAGAAAGATCTCAAACAATAAAAATAGAAAGAACCTTAACCAATCGATATGCCAATTAAATAGACTTAAAAAAAGCCTTAAGAAATTGCAATGGATAAGCATGAGTAATTCAGTATTTAGTATTTGGAATAGAAAGCAAAGCTCCTATTAAAACCTGTATAAGCTAATCCAACATTCAATGCTGGTTATTCAACACCATAAAAATAGTTCTAGAAATAGAGGATGCTGTACTAGTCTGCAAAGGTTGGAAGTCAAGAGCCAAAGTAAAGTTCAATAACTTAGAATTCAACAAGGGCAAATTCTTAATTTAAGAATAAAATCTTTGAGCCTTCATTTAACCAAACTTATTAAGGCCCTCAGATTGTAACTTATTCAAGAAACAAACTTGCAGAGAAAATGCCTGATATTAAGAAAAAGACTTTCTATAAGTGAATAATATATATCTATATATTAATTAATTAACTATTAAAAGTAAATAATTAAGTATTAGAAATCTAATAAATGCATTCTAATAATTAAATACATACAAACAAATTCCACCACAATTTCATTCATTCTGCTTTTATCTCATTTCTGCAAGTACATTGAATACTTTTACCAAACCCTTAGCTGCAATCACTTTAAGCTCTCTTTCTTGATCTCTATTCGTTGAAACTCTTGGATCAATATGCCCTTTTTCTACTACAGCCCTACTATTTTATATTTATCTAACTTTTTTATGCTTTTCTTTATCCCCATTTCTTTTTGCTTTTGTTTTTCACTTGTAAGTTCATTCAATATTTTCTATTTATCTGCCATTATAGCCTTTTCACTTTTTACATCTCTCTTTATAACTCCAGACAATAATTATTTTAATGATTATTTTGTCTATTATTATACTTCTTCTTATTGACTTTCATGTTCCTCTTAATGTTCATCTTCGTCTTCTGCATCAAATTTCTTTATAAGATTTTTTACTTTCTTAGATTTAATTTGTCTATTCAGCATTTTTTATATACAATAATTATTTATCACAAATCATCTTTATCATAATCAGCATCTTATAAATCTTCAGGATCAAAATTCTTCATTTCCTCTTTAAACTATTACAAAGTAATCTTGCCTTACTTCAATTTCTTTACTAGATTTTATTCTCTAATATTTATAAATATTCAATACGCTCTTAATTCTTCATCATCTTCTTATTCATGTTATTATTTAACCTTCTTTCTAATAGATTTAATATTCTTAATATTCTTTTCTTATTTCTTTACTACTTATTGCTTAGGTAATTATTGTTATTTTTTGTCTTCTAATTTTTTATCTTTATTTTCCCTTTTTTATAAAAATTGTTTTTCTTGATTTTTATCTAAGAAAGGTATTGAATTAGGATCTATTTTACTTTATTCAAAATCTATTTTTTTACTTAATATTTCTTTTATTCTAGGTATTCTTAAAAGGAAAAATGAATATGCTACTTAACCTATATTTAATTAATTGAATTAAAACAATATTTATAATTTATGTTCTTTATAACTTCTAATAAAGGATATAAATGCAGCTTTGCCTTTTTCTACAATATCTCTATCTTTCGTAACAATATTTAAGCACTTCTCTTTTAATTATTAAAATTAGCAATCAAAAATAATATTATCCAATTAATTCATTTCAATATTAGATCTTGCTAAAAATTATATAAATCCTCTTTCATGTTATTCAAGTAATAAAATAGCTTCTCCATCTTTACCTTATCTTGCTGTTCTACCTGATCTATGTATAAAGAAACTAGGATCTTAAGGTGGATCAAATTAAATAACTAAAGGAACATCATCAAAATCAAGTCCTCTAGCCAAAACATCAGTTGTAAATAATATTACATTATTTGTGATTTTAAAATTACTGACGATCTTTTATCTTTTCTTTTAAGCCATTTATCCATTCATACTTAATATATTACAATCAGGAAATAGTTGTTTAAATATAATACTATAATAAACAACAGAACAACAAGTATTAAAAAATATAATACTCTTGTTATTTTAACATTTCTTTTCTATTAAATCAACCAATCCAGCAATTTTATCCATTCTATTTAAAAATATATTATAATAATTCTTTAACTTTACAGGCATAGTCTCATTTGCATTAACTTTTACTTAAACTGGATTCCTTAAACCTAATTTCATTAAATCATGAATTTTAGCAGATGATAAAGTGGCTGAAAATAAACCAGTCCTTCTTTATTTTGGTAATTTAGATAGAATGAATCTCACATCATCTTAGTATTCATTACTCATTAATCTATCTGCTTCATCAAAGATTAAATATTCCAAAGTTTTAACATTTATTTATAATTCACTCATATCCAATAATTATCTTAATTTACCAGGTGTAGCTATTAATATATTACATCCTTTCTCATTTAAATATTTCACATCATGTTCATTTGATGTTCCACCTATAGCAAATGCAATCTTTGCTTAATTTACTATATTAAACTTCTTTGCTACATCATATATTTATTATGCCAATTCTCTAGCAGGCGATAATACCAAACCAAATAATTGATGATCTGAATATTTCTATTTTGAAAATTGATTAAATAAAGGAACCAAAAATGTTAATGTTTTACCTGATCCTGTTTATGCTTCTACGGCCACATCATAATTTTTTATGAAATGAGGAATAGCAGCTTTTTATACTGGCATTAAGTACTTAAACTTAAACTCCTCTCTCATTACTTTTTGTATTATTGGCTCTAGGTTTAATTCAGACCATTAATTTTAAGTTGTCATAATTATTAAGAAAAGTTTATAATATAAACTTAAACTTTATTATTTTCAAATAAAAAACAACTCCTACAACGCAACCATAGATTCATGATATTGTATTAAGCTTAATTTATGTTTCAATGTCATCTCATGAGATTTCTACTATACAGAAATAGTGTTTTGTTATGTAAAATGTATCTTTGCATGCTAAAATAAGAACTTTTTCATCTTGAATGAACTTCTTAATAATGACTTATCCAATATTAACATAAAAATTCATACTGATAATTGCACCATATGTATATAGGTATAGGTCTTTTCTAAAAGTTCAACATATGTTTACAATCTCCAGTATTTTTCTAATAAAAAAACTATTTATAATCAATATTCAGGTATGGATCATTTAAAAGGAAGAAAATTTTTGTTTTTTTACTTTTCATTCTTTGATTCTTTCATTATAGAATGTTATTTAAATCAATTAAACTGCAAATATTTTCAAATCTACCACATTAGTATATTTCTAATTAAATTGACCATTTACTCTAGAATAACTTTTAATAGTCTTATTTTATCATTTCTTAGATATGCTTTTTTGAATTCTTCAAAGCTTGGCAGTTTAAAATTTTTAATTTTGCATTATTGATTATTAATAATTCTTACTAGTTTTTATTAACAAATTTTAAAAGTCATTTTTCATAATTAATAACAATGATCAATCAATTTTCTTTATTAATTATTCAAAAATTTTAAATTAATAAAAACTCAAAAATAATTTGCTAATAAACTAATCATGTTTATTTATAATATGATATTGATATATTTTTTAGATTCTATTCACATCATATTTGGATAAGATGGTAAATCAAGGAAATTCAATTATTAAATATATTAAATTTTTAGATAAAAATTGATTTTATTCACTTTTTCATTAATCTACAAAATCATGTTATACTAAAATACCAAATTGGCTTAGCTTTTAAATTGTTTCAAAAACTTTTATAACAATTTCCTGTTTTTCATTTTTGCTATTCTGCTTTTAATACGCAATCTAAATAGATTATAATTCTAATATGGTTTGTTTTAGAAGTTCATTTATAAATCTCTATTCTATTTTTGAATCTTTAAATTTTCATTTTAAGGACTTTGATTATTTATTGAATCTAGTGAAGATTTAGAATCATTTATCTAATTATTATGATTTTAACTTTAGTTCTTTTGTTATTAGATTAAACTACCATTTTAAGAACTTGCATTATTTTTTACTTCTTCAGATTCCTAGTGATATTTACTTTATTCATTCAAAATTGAACCATTTGTAGGTTTAATTTTTGATTTTGTTCCTTTTTATAGATTATCTTAGTATTTTTCAAATTTAGAATTATCTTATTATTTATGATGATTTGAACCTGTATATTATTCAGTTTATATTATTTTTTCTTTTGTATCTTTTTCATCACATAATCGCTCGATTATTGTATTTTTAATAGATATTTAAAGTTTTTATTCAATATTTATAAAAGGTATAAATACTAAATAGTAAAATAATAAATCACAATCTTTTTATTGATTATTTTTGTTTATCGATAGCTTTTAATACATATTTTTTTATCATTTCCTCATTTTTGAATTCTACATCTTTTGCCTTGTAATAATCTGATAAGCCAGGATCCAATNAACTCCTCCTTTTTATTTATAATATGATATTTATAAAATAATGATCTTTCAGAATTTTAGCAAATTGATTGTAGTACTAATGCATATATATTGGTTTATGAAAGAATTCAAAAACAAAACATTCAACTCAAATTTACTAATTAATTATAAAAAATAGAAATTATGTCTAAATTTGAGAATCCATTACAAAAACTCAGATCTAATTATTTATATGCATTATCAAACTATGGCTTAATAATAAATATCTAATGAATTATATGCTGAAATTTGGTTAGATAATACCTTTTTTAAATTTTTTTGGTTTTAGTTGAAATTTTTTTTAAAACTTTTTATATCAGCAATGCTAACTTTATAGAAATATGCAAAAAACCTTTATATTCAAGGCAACATGCCTAAATGGTTTTTAAAAAATTATATTATTTTGGTTGTTTACATTTTATATATTTCATAATTTTTTACCTATACTAAGCAAAATTAATATTATTTATAAAAGGTATAAATACTAAATAGTAAAATAATAAATCACAATCTTTTTATTGATTATTTTTGTTTATCGATAGCTTTTAATACATATTTTTTTATCATTTCCTCATTTTTGAATTCTACATCTTTTGCCTTGTAATAATCTGATAAGCCAGGATCCAATAATTCTTTCAATTCTCCTTCAGTCAAAGGTTCCATAGTTCTCCAATCAATTTTATTGCCACATCCAAATTCTCCTAGTATTACTGTCGTCCCCCAAGGAGATTTAAAAACTACTCTTTCTTTTCTGTCCAATTGAATTTAATTTTTTTGGCTTTTTAATTCTTTTTATTTCTATTAAATTAATTTCTATATTGATTCTGTTTGTTGTACATATTTACCATTTAATTTTAGTTCTACATCATCCTATTTTAGTATGACATCATATTTTTATGGTGCTACTTCATTTTATAACATTTAATCATTTTTATTTTAAGGAACAGATCCACAATATGTTGTACAACTACCTTCAACTTTAAGCCATATTTTTTTACAATAGTTGCATTTTTTGATAAAATTAAAACAATGATATTTGTTTATTTTTATCCTATTCTAAGCTCTTTCAACAATATCTTCAATCTCAATTGATAAAGCTTTTTTTAGTCTAAAATGTACTAAAATCATAATTATTTCTTTATTATCTAGAACAAGTTATTCATAAATAGTATCTTGCTCCTTTAAATATTTTTCTACAACTTTTTCTCCTTCATTCTTTATAAAATCCATAAGTGCTTACATTTTATTTGTAATATCAGGATCAGTTGTCTCTATTTGTGGTATTTTATTTTTGATTTTATGTGCAATTTTTTAAAATTCTGTTTAAATGCTTTTAGAAGATAATTCTAAATCATATTCAGCTTGACTTGGATCATTTTTGTATTCAACTAGATCCATATGACTTAAATACTCGTAATCTTACAAAATGACATCAGTTTTTATAGAATTAGCCAAAATTTAATCTATTTCCTAACATATCTTCTCACCACTATCAAATTTACTGATAAAAATAACAGATTGAATATTTTATTTTAATATCAAATTAGAAATATCTTATTTATTGTTAGCTTATTATACTGATAAATCAAAATGTGTAATAGCAATAGTGATTATAGGTTTAAATCTTTAAAATGCCTTAGTTATTTCCATAACTTTTTTAGCAATCAATGGTGTTCTATCAAATTTGACAACAAAAATAATTCTACTGACTGGACTTTCAGCCAATGCTGCCAAAATTCCAGCGCAATGTTATATTTTATCTTCTAAAACACCCATTCCTGGTGTATCATTTACTTTGAATCCTTTTCCATAAAAAGAAGCCTTTTAAAAAACGTTTCTTGTTACTGATTCTCCTCCTGATATAGTTAATTCATTTGAGTTTGTTATTTTATTAAAAAGGGTGGTTTTTCCAGAACCGATTTCTCCTATCAAAACCACAGATTCCATAATCTTCTAATTAATATTACAGAGTTAAACAGCAATTCTTTTTAAAAAAGACTAAATTCTATTAGGAATTTCTATTAAAGAACTTTTAATAATCAATTTATTGATTAAACTAAAATTATGCATGTATATTATAATGTTTTTTGATGAGGATATGCTTATTTATAGAAATAAGATATTGAATGATAAATTATTAATATTTTCTTTCTAAGTTCTTAAAATGTGATTTTTATTAATAAATTTATTAATTATTTTTTTTTTACATATTATTTTAAGTTTTTTAAAGAATTAAATTACGATCGTATAATTTATGAATAATTACATATTTATCATATATTTTATCTTAGTTAAGTACTGTTATTTGATAATTTCAATAATCAATAACTAATAATAATAAGTATTTGAATCAAACTAATAATTTATTATGTTATCAAGTAAAAAAAAATTTTTGAACAAATCTATCAAAAAAGAAATTAATATGATGTGTTAACTTATGTATGCAAATGAGATTTATGATTAATTTTATAAATTAGAATTTAAAGTAGAATTAAAGGATAATGATTACATTTTAGGTAAGAGAATAAGAAGAAGAAAGAAATACATTTAAATAATATTTAACAGTTGGAACAAAAGAATAAGAATCCAAAAATGTAAATGTTAGAGAGAGAGGAAATAATGATCATAAACATTAATCAATAGTTTATAACAAATATTATTTAATTATGATTCAAAAACCTTAAGAGGATGGTCCGCTTCAGCCATTTGATTTATCATTTCGTGGAGATGATTAAAGGTTTATGGAATTAGAAAGAGCATAGAACATTCAAGATTTCGTGAAGTCTATAGGGAAACGGAATTTCGAATACGAATTTCAATATTTAAGACAAAGCACTGAAACAAAAGAACATGATAAATAACTAATCAAGACAGTTTAAGTATAGAGATTGAATCGATATACAAATATATTGCCATGTATGTTTAAGTAGATATTTAATTTATAGTTTCACATTCGATTGTAAAACCAGAAGTTCAATCAACTAATAAATTTAGTACTCCGCGAGATAAATTCTACATTAATGCAAATTACATCAAAGGAGTTAATAATGCTGAAAAATAATACATAGCTACTTAAGGACCAATTCCAGAGTCTGTTGATGATTTTTGGCATATGATTTGGACTAATAATGTTGGAATCGTGATCATGTTATGTGCTTTATGTGATAGAGGAAGAGTATTCCTTTTGCTTTACTTAGATCCAATGCGAGAGGTATTGGCCTAATGTGGGATAGAAGGCACAATTTGGTCCATATGAGGTGAATTCAATTTCATAAGAAGAAACTCCAAAGACTCTTTTTAGAAATAGAATAATTCTTAAATGTTAAGATGAATAAAGAGAAATTATTCATTATTAATGGACTGGTTGGATTGATTTTGGAGTTGTTGACAACAATTAATTTAAAATTTTAGACATGTTAGCTGAAATTACTAATGTGGCTGGATTATAAAATAAAAGGCCAGTCATTCATTGCAGTGCAGGAGTTGGAAGAACTGGAACATTCTTAGCCATTTGTCATTTAAAATAGTTATTAATTAATAAGGAAGCGAAAATATCTGTATTTAGTATTGTAAGAAGATTAAGAGAGTAAAGAGCTTTAATGATTTAAACACCTGAGTAATATTAAATGGTGTATAGATATACAATGTGGGTCATAGAAAATTTGAAATATATTTGATATATAGATGAATATATTATTAAAAATTAACCTCTTATTATTGCCTATTAATAATTAATTTAATATTATATTAAAAAAAATAAAAAAAGAACAGCCGATTGAGAGAATTGAACTCTCGACCCTTTGCTTACAAGGCAAAAGCTCTAACCACTGAGCTAAACCGGCTAGGTTATAATGTTACCCATTCAATCATTTATGAGATGCCCGGTTCATTTGATAATTAAATTATACATAATACAATTAGATTGATACCTCCTATGTAATTATTAATAGAAAATTAGATAGAAAGGATCAAGAAATTGTCAATCTATACTTTTAGATACATTCTTTTATGCCATAATTGTGGAAGAAGACAAACTAAGATAATATGTTAAGTAAAAATAGAGTATTTATAAAAAAGTGTTAAAGTAATAATCTAAGAGGATTGTGAAAATTAATGAATTTTCAATTGATTTAAGAGTAAGGTGTAAATTTATGAAGTTCTTTGGAAAATATAAAAATGAAAAAGAGAGGAATTGATTTATTTAAATAAAAATTAATATATGACTACAGTGTCTGTGGATTTTTTGCAACAGATTACTCTTCTCGGTAAGCAATATTTATTAATATTTATAGACCCGATGAATAGGAAGCAAACTATCACAGAGTTAAAGAAGGTCCTCACGAAGCCTTTGCTATTGTCAGATTATAAAAAAATTTGGAAAGCACTTTATTATGGTAAAGCAATTTAAAATTGTAAGCAATGTGGAGTTCTGACAAGTATCAAAATCAATAGATTCTTGCATCTGAAATTTCATAATTAACAAGAATGTTTTATTCTAATTTCACTGCATTTATCTAATTCTCTAGAGCGATGTTCCATGTATTTATGCTTGAATGGGAGAAGATAGATTATTGGAGAATTAATAAATTTATGCTTTTATTTAGAGAAATCATAGAAGAATAAATTAAAATATGCAAACATTTTAATTGGAAGACAGTTCCTTAATTAATTGCCTTATATAATGAGACTGTTTTAAATCTATCAGAATTTTAGACAGGTATTATTGCATATAATTAACTTTTTTAGTTTAAGGAGCTACTTTACACTTCATCCAAATATTTGTTTAATGTATGGCTAAACATATGAGTGATTCCACAGTTACATATATATAAGTGAAAGAACTAATTGATGGTTTCTTAGATATTTTAAAACATAGTCCAAATAAAACACTTAGAGATAAAACTATATAATATGTATATGAATATATAGAAGAAAAATAATCTAATGAAACATATTTATCAGCTTTTGATTCCAAAAGATATGGCAATCATGTCTTTAAATTAGCTTCATAAGAGTAATATAATTCTTATTATTTATAGAAATGTTAATCCTTAAAATAGAAAATCACTTTATAGAGTTGCAGAAATATTTCATTTTAAAGAAGAATAAGATGAATCACCTTAAATGGAAGTGGAGGAAGCACCAAAAAAGAAAAAGAAAAAAAATAATTAAGATATTCAATAAATACAAAAATCAAAAGAAAAACAATAATTTGAAGATAATAATGTATAATAATAATAAAATGAAGAATAATTATTCAATTAGGAATAAGAATAAGAAGAATAAGAGTAATAGTAACAGTAATAAGAACAACAATAAGTGACTTAGATAACTTCATAAGTAATAAAAAAAAATGGAAAAGAAAAAGTACCTAAAGAAAAAGATTAATAATAACAATAATCAAATACAAAAGCAAAATAAAAGGAAGAGAAAGCAATTTTAAAATTACATAAGAAATAAGAAGAATAAATTAATTCTCAATATATGCAAGATAGTCCTATTCAAGATGAAGATGAAACTATTGAAGGTGATGATTATAGTGAAGTACGAAAGAATCCTAACAAGTTAAAAACACTAAAAGAAATTATGAATTCTGTTCCTGTATATTTATTTATGAATCCAGCCGAGAAACGTAAATACTTTAAATCTATCAATATGAAATTTTAAGAAGCTTTGTAAAAAGAAAAAGGAACTCATTGCACACATAATAAGAATGTCCACTTTGACTTAGCTAAAAATAAAGTGAAAAGTAATAATGAGAATTTATTATATTAGCTTTTAAATAAACAGACAATGTGCTCAGAATTTCTAAGTCATGAATTTGATATTTTATATGTATAAAAAATATGGTAGAGAATGTGAAAAAAAATTACTCATTAATTTCACTTTAGACTTTTATTTAGTTAAAATTTGAAACGACTATTTAATAACATAAAATTACATACGCATTTACAAAACGAAGCTTTAGTTCAATGTATTTTCTTTCTATTCCTTCTTCAGCTTCATTCATTAATGAACATTCGAAAATAGTATCATCATCCCTCTTTTTACGAGAATAACTAAGTTAAGACTTTCGTTTCTTTAATCCATTTTAATTCTCTTAATATAAATCACGTTAAAATTATAAGTTGTTATCTTTTGCTTTTATCTCAGGAGTCAAAGAAAGATTAGATTTACTGTTTCTCACTCTAGAGTTTGAATTAAAAGAAATCTTGCTTAATCTACTTAAAATGCTAGGTTAGATTCCCAATAAAACACTATTATTGAAATCAATATCTGATATTGTATCATTGTAACTGCTTATTGATTATATTCTACCCTTTTTACGATGAATTTCTGGAGTTAATGTAGATTTTTTCTATTCATGAGTTTTTAATAAAGAATTAATTTCTTATTCTATTGATTAATTTAATTGTGATCCCAAAATATTATTATTTGATGATAAATCATCTTTTGTTTTTCTAAATCTATAAATAAAATATTAATGATTTTTTTACAATGATGGCTTGCTGTTTAATAGATTACTGCTACTACTCTACCCATCTTTTTCAATTTTTTAAGTAATATTCCAATCAAAAACTAATTCCTTAGGTACATAATTAAGTTCAATCTACACTTTTTTAAATAAAGATTAACAATATTTATAATTTGGTTCTGATTTGAATTATAAGCCTCTAACATAATCTAAATATCTTGTAAATTCAATAGGTAGACCTTTGCATAATTCACTTACTTCCATCTTTATTTTCATCTAACCAACTTACTTAATTTTATTCTCTTCTGATGTAAACTATAAACTTTACCAAGGTAACTAACCTTATAATTATATTTATCTATACCTTTTAGAAGAAATATCAACATATAGCCAAGTGATTCCATATCATCTCTGCGACTTAAAGAATAACCTTTATGAGCATTTATGCTAGCATATCTAGTTGTTCCAATAAATGGTTATTTATCTCTAAAGGATCTAGATTCTATTGAATTTAAATGTTACATATGAGATTCATTTTCATCTTTGTAAAATTTACTGATACCAAAATCTACAATAAATAGTTGATTTTCTTAATCTTCTTTTCCAACTAAGACATTTTCAGGTTTTATATCCCTATGCAAAACTTTGCTAAATTAAGTAATTGAAATACCTCTTATGTAAGCTTTCTAAAATGTTTATCATCTATTCAGCTATGTTAAGAACACATTTCATAGAAAATTTTCGAAAAGTCTTCATATAATGAGTTAAATCTCTTCCTAAATATTGTATAACTAGAACGAATGAATCTTATTCTTTTCCAGCCCAATACAATTTTGGTATATGTAATAAATGTTAGAGTTTTCTTAAAATTTCTGCCTAAAATTAAAATCTTAATACTTCTCTAAGTAAACTTGAGTCTTCTTTACTTTCTTTGTCAATCTTTATGGCAACTAAATTTCTTGTATTGATATCTTATCCTTAATAGACAACACCAAAGGATCCAGCAGAAACCCTTTTTTTTGTAATGAAAGTACTGTTGATAATTTTCTGATTATTCATTTTATAAATTAATAATCTGAATATTATATAAAATGAAAATATTTTAATGAACTAATTATTTTTTTAAATCATATACAAAAATTTATTAATCATTCTTATTATTCTTCTTCATAATCATCAATTTCTGAATATTGTTAATATTCTGAGATAAGATTTTATATATTTTAACCAGCTTCAATGAATTCTAATTCATCCATACCTTCATTAATGTACCAATGAAGAAATGCTTTTCTTTTTAATATGGCTTAGAAATTGTTATAAATTCTCTTGAACATTTATTTTATTGCAGTTGTATTACCAATAAAAGTTCCAGAATTAACAAGTCCTTTCTAAGATACATTACATTATGATATATTTAAATTATTAGGTAAATTTTAAACTAGTTTTTAATGATTCTTTTTTAAGAATTACATCATTTAATTTTCAAGTTCAAAACTTGAAAATTATCCTCTGAATAAACAAGCTCCAGTTTAATATCTTCCTTATTTACAATGAATTGCACAAAATTAATTTTAAGGATCAAACATTTGATCAATTAAATCTGATATTTTTAGCGAACTATTTTACATACTGTGTTTAGAAGTTAAAGGAGCATATGAAGTTGTAAAGAAATGCAATCTCGGAATAGGTATAATAAATTAATAGATTTGAATAATATCAAATTCACACTTAATTATCTTAAACTACTATTTAATTAATTTGGAAATCTAAGTGAACAAGTAGTTCCTGACATTAAAGCTGAAATGATGTTATTTAAATCTTCATAACAGATATTTTTAAGTTTTAATTTATTCATACATATCTTGTACAAAGCTTCATTATCAATTGATATACATTATGAACAATTTTCAATTAAATGATTTACTGTGATAGCAGTATTATAATATTCTTCTAAAGGAAATACAGAATAAGATTGAAATATCTTATCAAAATAATCCTCTTATAATTTTGATAATAATAATGTACCAAATCCTGATCCTGTTCCTCCTCCTAAAGAATGTGTTAATTGAAATCCTTATAAACAATCTGCATTTTCAACTTAATGTCTTATAACATCTAAAACCTTATTTAATATTTCATTTCCTTTTGTATAATGTCCAATTGCAAAGTTATTACATGTACCACCTTAATTCTAAATGAAATTGTCTGGTCTAAATAATTTTCCATATTTGCTTGCTCTTACATTATCTAGTGTTTCTGATTCTAAATCAATCAATACATTTCTTGGAATGTATCTATTTCCATCTACTTCATTAAAATAAACATCTAAATTTTATTAAAACTAAAGGTCTTATTAAATTAATTGGCCATTTTCATCAATCCTATGTTCCTAAACTATTTCTTCCCAAAATTTTATTCCTATTTGATTTCCACATTATCCTATTTGTAATAATATTATTTCCCTCATTATTTTTTTCTTTTTTTATCATTCTCTCTACTCTTAAAGAATTTTTAAATAACAATTATAAAAGAAATTATATTTTCATTTAATTGCTATTATATTTATAATATATCAAAAATTATTATTTAATATTATTAAACCTAAAAATTTATGTGGTCCAATTCCTAGAAATTCAAGCATTTTATTTCATAAGATTAAAAATTTAATTTAAATTATAATCTTCTATATTAGTTCTACAATAATAAAGGTAATTATTCTAATTCAAGCACATTATAAAATAATTTTAAATTTAAATTCAAAAAGGTTTATTTTATGAACATATTATCTAGTCAAGAAAAATTAATAAATATTTTTATATGAAAGCAATTTTATGGTTTCTAAAAACCTTTTTTATTATCATAAATGATAAAAACTATTTATGACTATTTAATAAAAAGCTGTCAAATTATAATTAAATTTCTAAATCTTTTTTTAAGAATAATTTGGTTACATTTTTCATTTGTAGTTTTTTTAGTTAATAATTCATAATATTGAACAACATCCTTTCATTTTGTTATTCTATATACCGAACAGATTTAAATTAATATCCTAACAATACTAATGATTAGTTGATTTTAAATTAAAATGTTCTTTCTTCAGAAATACTAATGATATCTTCTAAAGAATGAATCATTACTTTTTTAAAATGGAGAATCTATATAATCATTTCTTTTATATCTAATTTTATAAAAATTCTTTTACATGATTTAATTAATACCTGCCATTTTGATCATATAATTTTCATCAAATATTTAGGAGCATATTCATTTATTAATAATTTTCAAGGGAAAATTAGGTAGGAACTACTTTTTATTTTATACTAATGCAATTCTTGTTTGCTAATAGAAATTGTTCACAGTAAAGTACTTGATTCAATTAATTTCTTCAAATTAATCGAGGAATAAATTTTTACATTTTGAAACACATGTGACAAGGTATAGATATACGAATTTGGAATATTAAATAAAATCTCTCTTGGAAATTTACTTAAATAAAATTCTATGACTTGCTTTGAATGTATCTATATTACATTTTTTTATTCCAACTTGATTAGATATTAAAACAAAAAGGTAAAGATAACCAATTACAAAACAATTATAAGGATATTAACTTCACAATCAAATATTAAATTGTAAACTATTTTAATAAAAAATTGAGTCAAAACTTTTAGGATTTCTTGAAAAAACAATGGATTGAATTTGATCCAATAAAGGTTTTGCATTAAACCACTTTGGATATCTTTGAATTTTACATTATCATTTTTTATATATTTATAATAATAACTAAGAATAATATTTTAATTTTATTTTTATCATTTTAGAAATATATATTCTTATAATTTAGAAATTATAAGTAAATATATGAAGAAAACTATAAATAATTTAAGATGATGGAATTAATTTTAAATTCATAATAAAATAATCATTCTTACTCTATTTCTTTTTCATTATTCTCTTAATTGTTTTAGGAATCATCTTAGACATCTTTTAAATCATTTTATTAAGATTCCTATTAATTATCATGTTCATCTTCTTCTTCTTTCTTTTCTACTTCGGGTTCCAATTGGATTTAATTTTATAAAGAGTCTTGATAATTATTTTACTTTATATCCATTTCATTATTATCAATAATTTATGTATTTTCTTCGTCTTGTTTTACTTATTCACTATCACAGTCAATTAGATCAATTTGATTACTTTTTTCAAATTGTTCTTCTAAAATCATAAGTTCTTTATTTTGATTTTCTTAACTTTATTCTGGAATTGAATTAGATAATGTTTATTATCTATCTTCATCAGTTAAAGTTTTTTATTCTTGTTAGATGATTTGAGGTTATTCTTGTAAATGAAATTTAACTTGACTTTATGTCAATTAAATTTATTAAGTTTTTTGTAAACTAAATATTTTCATTTATAATACATAGTGTTTGGATACTTTTTAATATTTAAAGAATTTAAAACAACATTATCTTTGATTAATAAATTCCAAAGTGTTTTTATAGAGGTTTATTCTTTAAATAAGCCTTCATTTGCTTATTATTTAGGTTTAAATAAATGTTTTTGAAGTACTTTAGCAACAGAAATTCTGACATTTTTAATAGGATCTTAACCTAAATGGATAAATGCTTCAAGAAAATCAACATAAAATTATTCATATTTCATTAATTTTTCACACATAATAACAAAACTAATATGGATAAATAAAATACCTTTATCTTTAATTAAACATATTACTATTAGCAAATCCTAGGATATTTTATTTTAAAACGTTGAAATACAATTCATTTTGATTTTAGGAAAATTTATCATAAAGTTCAAATATTTATTTTGCAGCCTAATTTAAATATCAATATAGATACTGCTTTTCTAACAGCATAAACATTATCATTACACAATTTAGTTGAAACTGGAAGAATAATAGAAAAAACAGTTTCAACATCAAATACTCTAGCTAAATGAGAAATTTATTTAGCAATTAATTCTCTAATTCTCCATTTCTTTTAATCTTTTTAAATAATCAATAAGATATCAATAAGTGACGCTCTTTTAGATTCTTCAATAGCATCAAAAAATAATCCTAAATTTTCAACAGCTCCATGTTTGATTTCATCATTAGGATCTTAAAGTAATTATTCTAAAACTTTTAATAATTCTGAATATGCTAATGAAGGTCCTAATAATTTAGCTAATACATGAAGACTACAAGCCAAAGGTTTTTTGACTCTCAAAGGAATATTATATAATAATACCTTGTCTTTATGAATAATTAATTTCATAAATAATTTACTAAGTTATGGCCATTTCTTTTCAGTGTAAACCTAAAGAACTGCTGGAAAATATAGTGCACATTCAATAACTATCTTATTATTATATTATAAATTGCATTTACCTCATTATCAATTCCTAATTCTCTAATATCAGAATCATTCATTTTTAAATAGAATTCTAATAGTTTATCATTAATGTTTTCAGATCTTGTAATAATTGATATGTATTTTCCTAATTACTTATAAGCATGCTATTTAACCCATTTATTTTAATCACTTTTAATTTAATTGAACTTTACTCTAATAATGCAAGTAATCTTCCAGTAATCAAATCAAAATTTTCTGTATCTGTTTATTCAGCTAATTTAACAATTATATCAAGACAAGCTTTTCTAGTTTACCATGTTCTTTCTTCAGTTTTTCTAAAATAGTATAAATATGAAATAAAACTTAGAAAAGAATGGTAGTAATCTATGTTTAATAAAATCTTTAGATAAAACTTTAGCTATATTAGCTAATTAAAGAACTGCTTCTTTTCTGATTGGTTATTTAGCATCATCTCCTTTAGATAGAATTTCTAATGCTATAAATGATTCAGATAATTCAGGTCCAAAATCAGCAGCTAATTAACCAAATAACTAAAATGTATATAATGATATTAAACTTTAACAGCAATTATTACATTCTCATCATTATTATCATCATGTGCCATCTAAATAACTTAAGTTAAAATTAGATTGCCTCTATCTCTTTCATTTAATTCTTTAGCAACAATACTTATTGAATTTCCAGCCAATTCTTTTATCTTCATTATAAATTATATATTTATTACATCAAAATTATTTGATTTTAACAATTCTTATAAAGCTTTCACTACATGTTATTTAATTAGTTCTTAATTATTTTATTTTGTTTTCAAAAGTACACAAATTTACTCTAATTGGGCTATAAAATTTTTCTTAATTTCATCAGCATCTTCTAACTTATGAATTAAAAGCTAATTTTACGATCTACTAAATTATTGTATTTAAATTATCAATAGCAGAATCACCTATCCATGTTAAGAGTTCTCCTAATCTTTTTGTAAATGCAAGTCTATATCTTTACTATTTAATTTACCTCTCTTTATAATTACAATCCTTTAATTTCATGAGTTTATCTAATACTATTTAAGGATTTTCATCAATAAACACTGCATCCTCCTCTCTTTTTTAAATCTATTAAACTGGAATGTATTCCTCCCTATAAATTTCTTATACAATGCTTCCTGTATCTAAATAAATGTTTAAATTATCATAGTTACCAATAAGAGGATTTTCTTTGGGAGAATTTTACATATCCTTTAATATATATATTTATTTAATTTTAAAATATTGTTTAGCGTTCATCCCCTATTATTTCAAAATTTATAAATAATCTTAAAATTTATATAAATATCTTATCAATCTATCTATTTTATAATGTTATCATTAAATTTATACAATATATCAATCATCCTCATCGTCATCATCATCATCATTCTCATCATCATCATTATCATCATCTTCATCATCAAATTCATCTTCATCATCTTTCAAATCTAAATAATAAGCTAAAGATTATGGAATTATTTCTTCTATTATTGCTTCTCCTATTTCTAGATCAGCTTCAATTTTTTCTTCTATTATTATTTCTTCTTCATCTGTTTATGCAGGAGCAATATCATCAAAAAATTTAAAGAATGATTTTAATTTTACTTCTGTCTCAATTATTCTAGTTTAATTTGTTTTCTTATTTCTTTATTTCTTCTTTTTTATTGTCTTTGTTACATTCTTTCCTTCTTTCCAATTAATTTTTGTTCCATTACATTTATAAGGTAATTTACTTTCTTCATTATTATAAATGAATTCTTTTTCTAATACCTTATTATCAAAATATTAATTTGGATTGAATTCAAATCTTAATTTAAAGTCTTTTTCATTATCACCAAAACTAGCACTTATACTTTTTAATGATGATAAAACATCTACATCTTTTTATGTTATACGACATCCTGTAATTCCTGCATTTTATAAAACTTTTGACCAATAATCAGATATTGGTTCTGTTTCTTTTATTGTTGAATCTTTTAATTCTTCTTCATTTGGTTATCTTGTACCATTAGCCAAAGCATTTATTTCTGATAATTCTGGAATACATTTTTTTAAATGATCTCCTGTTACTTTATTAATATTTTCTAAATATTATTTTTCCATATTTGACCATTTTTTTACATAATGAATTAAGGCAACTGCTTTTGATAAATCTTCAGGCTTAAATTTTTATTTAACAACTTCAATCACTCCTTAATCAATAATCATGAAAAATTAACCTTAATTTATTTTATAATTCAATTCATTAATTAAAGAGCATTAAATTTGTGTTAAATAAATACATTAATTCTTTTTAACTCGTGATTTAATTAAATTGTACAATTCTTCATTTCTTTTATCATTTCATGAGTTTTCAAAATAATTTATTTTAAAATTCTCCAAAAATATTTTTGTTACATATTTATCAATCATGATCATATTAACAAATACTAATAAAAGATTTAAAATTACTACTATATTAATATTTATAAAGCCTCGAAATTCTATTTTTCTTTTATTGAATATCTAAGAATAGAATAGAGTTTATGATATTCTTATAATTACATATAGATTGAAATGAAAATAGATAGAATAGATTCTACATTGTCATAAGTTATAATAATTATATTTTTGACCATTTCTTATATATATTTAAGTACTTTTTAGTAATCAAATAGATTCTAAAGTTAAGTTAAATTTTAATGTTTATGTATTATTATTTATTATTTAAGTTATGAATAATAATGCAGATGATTAAAAGTAAAGAATATTTTAATGGTTTTACTAGTGATATTTCAAATGAAAACCTAAAACCATGTCCTGATAAAAAATTACATCATTTTGATTAAGAATGGGCTAATTATGCAAATAATGTATCTCCTCATTTCACACCCTCGTAATTTTTTAATGCTCCTATTTCATAAATGCCTCCTTTAAATTTAGAAAAAAGTTCATAGTTCCCTTATATCAAAAGGTTATGAAGATGGCTAAGACAAATAAGGTAAGAAAAATCCCTTTCGAAAATTTTCTGCTAATGATCCTCAACAAGATGGTAATGAAGAAGACCAAAAATAGAATTACCCATACTATCCACCTTTCTATTAACCATACCCTATGAAATATCCTCCACCACATCCATCCCAAATTTTTATGCATTAATATCCACATCCTATTCCATTCTGGTATAGACCACCTGTATATTTTCCATAATATGATGGATAACATTATTAAAATACATTATCTAAAGAACTCCAATCAAAAGTTAGTCAATTGGTATAATACTAAAAAGTATCACCTTTTGCATGCAATTGTAAAAAAAGTAAATGTCTTAAATTATATTGTGAATGTTTTGCCAATAATTGGGTAAGAATTTCAACTATCTAGGTATGTTCATAAAATTGTAATTGTTGTGAATGCAAAAATAGAATTGATAATCCTAATGAAAGATCTAAAGCTATTGAAGAAGCATTACTTAGAAATCCAGATGCATTTGCAGCAATTTTAACTAATAATGGATAATAACCATAAATTATTTAAGGTAATCTTAATACTATTATTTTTAGAAGAAAAATCATAAAAAGAATCATAAAAAGACATTACTACACGAAAGGGATGTAATTGTAAAAAATCTGAATGTAAAAAGAAATATTGTGAATGTTATAGTATTAATTAAAAATGTACAGATTTATGTAAATGTGAAAATTGTTTAAATAAAGCTCAAACTTAAGAAGATTCTATTGATTAGTTATAAAAATAGGAAATCTATAAAAAAGAAAGTTCTAATCAATTTTAAATAGCTTAAGATATAAAAAATGATTTGAAAGATAAAGATTCTGTCAATAAAAAATCAAAGAGTATTAAGAAAAAAAATAACAAAGTCAATGATCCAAATCAGGAACAATTTTCAGAATCAGAAAAACCTATAGTCAAAGTTAAATTAACTATTACTGATAAATAAAAAAGAAGAAAATAATGATATGTTCATCTTTTTAAAAAAAGTCTTTATTATCAATTCCATTTTTTTATATATATAAATTAATTCATCAATATCTTTTTGCCATCAAATATACTTCATTTTAATTTTAATATTATTAACTCTTTGGTTTATCATCTCTTTCTTAATATTGAGAATGTGATCTCTAATATTGAGGATCTCTATTAATCATAAATTTTTATTGAGAATTTTAATAATAATAAGGTTAATTTACTCCAACATTGTATAATTTTTAATCATATCTTGTAATTGTGTTTAATTAAGGAACTCTATAATTCTTAACATGCAAAGGAGCCCTTTATGGTAATGTTTTTTCATATTTATCTCCATAACTTTCAGTATGTAATCTAGGTTTTTAATCGTAATTTAAAAATATATCATCTTTTTCAGGACTTATTTCTCTTGAATCTTCTTGTGTATTTTATCTAAATGTGTAATTACTTGATTAATGATGAGTTTAATTACATTAAATCTGTTCTTATTATTGTTATTATATTACCTTCTACTATTGAAATTATGACTATTATTACTAAATTTATAATATCTCTTAATAATATTATTATTTTTGTAATTCTTACTGTTATTAAATTATTTACTCTTAACATAATTGTTATTTACTTTAAACTTAATTTTATTAATTCTAAATTTAGGAAACTTATTATTAAATTTAGATTTATGGCTACTAAATTATTTATTATGATTATTTTTAATTTTAAAGTAAACTTTAATTTTGCTGAACTTGATTATTAATATTGACTTATTATTAAATTGATTCCTAACTATTTGCTTTCTATTATTAAATATTTTTAATAAAATTTTCAAGTCTTTCCTTTTCTTATGACCATATCTTTGATCTCTCAGTTAATTCATCTTTCATTTATAAATTTTCTTTCTATATTACTTTGATCTATTATTGAAATGCAATAATCTGTTAATTAAAATATTATTAATATTATTAAGCAATAGTTTCTTATTATTATTCAATTTCTTTCTATTATAAATTATATAATCATTACCAAAAAAGAATTTCTTAATTCGCTAATTTATAGATTATAATTTTATTCTAGATTTGCTATACAAGATTAATAAGAGGCCTATTCTTAATATAATTACTGTATAAATGATTGTTCTTTAATTTAAAATTCTTTTATTGTATCAGTATATTATTATTATTAAGCTATCAAGACTTATTTTTATTATTCCAATACAATACATTTTCTATAATAAAAAAATACTATAATTACTCATTAACAGCTTTAATTTCTTCATTTATTAAAGCAATTTGATCATTCTTTTCTAACAATTAATTATTTAACATATCAATATCATTTAATCTTTTTTATAGCATTTCATTTAGATTTTTGTTTTCTAATAATATTTATTAGAATTTAGATTCAATATCTTTTTTATTTTTTGATTACTCATCAATTAATCTACTACTCAATTATTCATTTGCTTAAGTTAGTTAAACTACCTTTTATTGATAATTCATCAATTTTTATTATGATTCTTATACTAAGAGTGTTCGATTTGATTAATTATTTTGTTTCATAATTTCTATTTCTCTCATTAAACCAGAGTTTATTTCAATTAACTTTGAATTTTCGGTAATAAGTAATTAGATTTTTGATTACATAGAAGTAAGATTTTTTTCATTATTATCTATTGGTTATTCAATAATTCTAAAACTTGGTTCTGATTCTTCTCTCTTTATATTTTTTTTTATAGCTAATTATTTTGTGGAATTATAATTATTCTCTTAAGTTGGAGATGTTAATTGTATATCTTATGGTTCATTAAGATGCATTTGTAAAAATTCTTAAAAAGATTGTTTAGATTCTCTCTCATAATTTACTACCTTAAATGAATCTGACATTATTTCGAATTTAAATAAAAACTAAATGTTAAAATTTTAAAATATGTAAAACAGTTTAATATAATAATAATTGAAAACATTATATATAATAGAAAAAGCATCAAGATATTGAAGCTTAGATTTTTGTTTATATTTTTGTTAAATTACAATAAATAAAAGGTGATTTAGAAATATAAATAAAAATAGTAAAGAATTTTGTTATATAAAAATTTTGTTGTGTTATTAATGTATTGTATTATTATTAATGATGTTTCAAAGTCCTAATTCTTTGAAATTGGGATTTGGTCTTGAATATTCGTTGGTTAAGAAATATCTATACATAAATAAAAAAAAGTTACTCTGGGAAATATTTTTTAGCTAAACCATATGAAGCATTCATTCTAACACACAATTAGAAATAATTTCTTGCATCCAAACATTCAGGCACATAGGAATCCTCAAAGAGACCAAATTGATTTTTGCAATGTTAAGCCATTCTATCATATAGATGACAAGCTAACAATTAATTTGCCTAATTAATATTTTTATATGAATACTTTATATTCGACAAACTCAAATTTTAGATTATCCAACAATTTTACATGATTTTTGGTCAGTGTTTATAGATTAATCATATTTCTAAACATGAAATCTGTTTAATACGATTTATGGATTACCTTCCTCTTCCCAAACTTCGTTATAAATAGGCATCTGTATTTATTTATGATATATTTAATTATGAATTAAAAATATGAGTATTAAAAAAAATTAATTAAACAAATCACATTCATTTTTTTAATTTTTTATTGATGATTTAAAGTGTTTTAATGTTATCTTTAAGAAAAATAAGACTTGTTTACCATTATTCTAATATTTCCTCATTGTCAAACAATAATTCAATTCTACCATCATTTTAAGTAATTATTGACATAGGCCAATAAACTATTCCGCAAACAATCCTTTCTTCTTAGCTTAAAATAAATCTATTCTATATTTATTTTTTTATTTGAATACTCTATTAAATTGTTTTTGGAATAATTACTCTCATAATTTAATCTAATTAAAGAAAAGAATCAACTTGCTAAATAATATTAAATATTATACATTTATTTTCATTTAATTTTTGAATTCAATTTTATTAAAGTTTTAAGACAATGCTATAATTCTTGGACAATATCCACAAATATTTGGATTTTAGCATGTAAATGGATCAAATTCCATTTTAGTTAAATTTGGTTTAGTTGATGAAAATCTTTTATAGATCAATACACCCTTCTATAAAGGTTTTGTTATTCTGAGTATTTCTTATTCAATAGGAACTAAATGATTCGATTTATTTGAGAGATATTAAGAGTCTTTTGAATTATAAGATTATGTTTATCCATTATTGGTGGAAATATTGCAAAATAATTGTCTTTATTAGATTTCTTTATTAGCAGTTGAATCAAAGGATTTAGATTTTTTATGTTTTTATATTTATTCTGATAATGAATTTTATTCTTTAAATTTAAAAACTTAAGGTTATTAACTTTTTTACGTTTAAGGATTAGAAGGTTAATTATTAAAAAATAAAGGCATATATGGAGATGGGATTGATATTTATTTTTGTGTGACTTCATTACAATTTGTCATTTACAATTATGATTAACCTAATTTATAAGAAAATCGTTTAGTCTATTCAGATAATTGAACTCCAGTACTTTAAGATGAATTATCATTCACTTATACTTTGTTTAGATTTAAATAATTTTGATGAATAGGAGTTGTATTTATTTTAGTAGATTATTCCATCTTAGATTTCTCTCTTTTTGAACTTAATTATTCTTCTGTAATTGTTTATAATCTAATAAAATCAATCTATTAAGTCTAATTTTCAATAGGTAAATTCTTTTAATTAAAATAATTGTATTAAATTTATTATTATTATTAAGCTTAATATTACTACTATTATTATTATTATTATTACTACAAAGGCATATTACAATAATTATTTTTAGACTTTTCAGATTATAGTAAAGTTAAATTTAATTCATTAAAATGTTATAATAAAGAATCATCAGCTGATAATTAACAAGCTGATGAAGTTTTTGAGTTTGTTTCACAATCTATACTGTTTATTTGTAAATATTATTATAATTAACTAAAATGTAAGGAATCATCCTTATTTAAGTGATTACTTAAGACTTTTTTAGTTTATTTATTAATATTACTTAGTATATTTGAACAACTTCTAAGTTATGAATTACTATTATCACTTTTTTAATCTTCATTATCAATTTATGATAAACAATCAAATCCTGTTAGAATTTCATTGTAAATTTCTTCAGTTTTTTATTTATTTAAGATTTCTTATTAGTAGAGATCTTTCTTCATAGTAATTTCATTTAATTATTATTCTAATTATTGATTTTCTTATTCTAATACTTCAACTCTTTTTAATAATTAGAATTTAGATTAATCTTCCTCTAAAAGATTATTTCTAATATTTTGAACTAATTATTTCTTTTGATTCATTGTTTATTTGATAATAAAAATATCTTCATTTAATTATGTATCAACGTAATCAATATTTAATTGAATAGCTTTTTCTAATTTTTCATGATTTCTAAGTATCTAAATAATTCCTTATATTTTTTTATTATATTATTGTGAAATTAATTAATTGATTTATTATTCTTACTCTCTCAAAACTTATTAGTACACTTCTTTACCATATTAATTCTTGATAACTTCAAATTAATGACCTTATATTTAGAAAATAATACTTTACCCCATTGTTACATATAAGTGGTCATAGCAAGTGTTGTTTCTTAATTTATTTTCTCTTTTAATACTTTATGTTACAATTCTCTATCTCTAATCAAATCTGCTGTGTTACTTGATAATTTAAATGAAGATGATTTTTTTAACTATTATATTTGTAGGTCTAACTATTCAATTTTAGTTGCAAAAGTAAACTCAAAATTACTTTATATTTTATGGAATTCTATTAATTCCTCTAATTCTTCCACTTGACCAATCAATTCGGCTCTTTACAATAACTTCCCATTTAAGTCTTCCATTAACATTGATGCCTACTCTTATAAATTTTATTAATCCTATATTGCTTATTTATACATCTTGTTTAAACTTCCTACAGTTCTATCAATCTTTTTAGCAGTATTTGGAATATAAGTGGATTAATAATTTGAATTTTCCTTATTCATAGTATCATTAAGTAAATCACTAATCCTAGAATTTCTTCTTGAAATATCTCGTGATTTACATTCAACATACAATAACGAAGGCTTTTTAGATTTATTAATAAACATAATGTACTATTTTAAATAATAAATTCAAATACAAATTATATACTGTTACTTGTATAATAATATTAAATATAGTATAAAATACTTTACAATTTATGATCATTGTAAATTCACTTACACAATTCTCTCCTTTCCATTTCTTAAAATCACCATAGTATGACTATCTGTATTTTCAGTAACTCCTAATAATTTAGTAACATCTTTTCCATGTTAAATTTTAATCCCATCTACTGATTTAATTATCTCTCCTAATTTTAAACCTGCCTTCTCTGCTGGACTACCAGAATTTATTTTTATTATAAAAGCACCTCCTTAATCAGAAGTCTTTAAAGTCAATCCTAAATAAGGTTTCACTACAGACTTTCCTTTTTCTAATCCTTTAAAAAATTCAGATGGAACTACTTAAGTCTTGTTTTTAAACTTCCCACTTATTATCCCCAATAATTATCCATTCTTATTTAATACAGGACCTACATATCATCATTAATTACTTCCAGGACTAGAATAACATCCATTCATCAAAATAAATGGAAATGTCTAATTTAAAGCCTCCTCTCCTACTAATCCTATATCTAATGTAAAATTGCTATCTGTTATAGGACATTATTTAAATTCTTTCAAACCTTACTCATCTGTCCCTAATACATATGCATTCTATCCTATCTCATATTTTGATAGATTAAATTCAGATTTCTATTCTTATATTTTTAAGATTGCTAATCCTTCCTCAACTTTTATTATCTCATAATTTTATAGCTAACCATTTATTTATGCAGTAATTTATCTTTAGTAATTTTCAAATACTTCACAACTCGTAACTACAAATCCATTTTTCAAAACTGCTCCCTAACCAATTATTCTGCCATTTAGAAAGAATTTTACTATTTAGTTTTATGTTTATTTATGTAAAACCTAAAAGATTTCTTCGTTTTAATTTTTTCGACTTCTCCAATATATTATAGAGGCTGTTGAAAATAAGGCTATCCTTTGCATAAAATTTTACTTAAAAATTCTAGAAAACATAAAATAAATAATTAAACAATAAAATTAGGTTTTTTTATTTCTTATTTTTAACTCAAAATAATAAGTATCATTTAGACATAGGAATTCACATATGATATATAAATTTACTTTAGAAAAAGTTAATCATCAATAAAATAAGTATTTTCTGAATAGTCAATTTAAATTTTATTAAATAAATATAATTTAAGGTATATCAAGAAATGTTTAATTTTTATATATTCATAATATGGTAGTTCAAACAAAATAACTATATTTGGTTAAAATTTATAAATAAACAAATAATAATATAGTCTTATTTTAATAAGAATTTGTTTAGATTATAAATAAGTTTTATAAATAGATATACTATCAAGAAAATCTGTGGTGAGAAGTGAAAAAAGTAAAAGAAGTATTAAGATTAGAGAGATAGTAATGATAAAGATTAAAAAATTAGAGAGTAAGGGGAATGGAAATGAAGTATTAATGTTAGAAGTGTTGATTGAGATTGAATAGGAATAAATATAGTTAAATATATTTATTAGATATTAAATATTTTAAAAATGAAGGGTCTTTTTTGTTTAGGAGTAGGAATATTAATGACCTAATAAGAAAATAGTGTTCATGCTTGGTTATACAGAGATGATATTGGTGCCTTTTGGGGTATCAAGGGATATGAAGAGTAAGTGACAGAAGTAGGTACACATAGAGGACATATGTCATGGCCTTAATATAGATTTTTAGGGACATTCGATTCAGGTAGTGTTAGAAGAGGGTATATATATAATAATGATTGTTTAGATTTCTGGTATTTTCTAGAAATTGTGCTAATTGTCATGGTATTGTGTATAAAAAATATGATGTTTTATTGGATAAAGTTTATAAGCAATTAGAATTGGCTGCATTAGTTAGTAATTTTACAATTCATCCTGCTCATCATCACTTTAAGTAATTTTACTATTAAGAATGGGATGAAAGAGACAGATATATTCACGACAGTAAATATAAGATTAATGAATAGGAATATATCCCCCATATTTCTCATAAGATTAAGCTAAGAATGCTAATGGTGGTGTATGGCCAACAGACTTTTCTAAGATTAGACTTAGACCTGGAGGCATTAATTACATTTACAATATTTTGACTGGATATCATTATAAACCTTACTAAGGTTTAGATGTTCCAAAAGGAAAAGCCTATAATCCATATTTTGATCATATGATTATTGGTATGGTTAGATAATTACATGATGGTATTGATATCAATTCATATATAATAGGACTTGTTGATTATGAAGATGGTACTCCTGCCTCAACTCCTTAAATGGCATTTGATGTTACTAATTTCATTTAATTTGTTTAAAGAAGAAGTGGTTTCTAAAGACCAGATAAAACTGTTAGATATTATATGTTTTTAACTGGTGTTGCTTTAATATATCCATTTGCCTACTTGAAAACCAGAGGATTTTATAGAAACAATCTTTCTCTCAGGTATCATGTCATTCTTATTATTCAAAGATGGGAAATGTATGCAGTTAGAGATGGTGTCTATTATAATCACTTCAAAAAAGGATGGAAGAATTCCAGAGCTATACAATTTAGAGGTCAAGTCTGGGCTTGATTTATATTCATTATTCAAAAATAATATAAATATTATTTCTAACTATATTTATCAATATACTGTTATCATCTAACTTTATCAAATCAAAATTATTTTAACATTTTAATCTAATCATCTTTCATTAAATGCCAAAGGTCTTAATGCAGATTTGGATAAATATACAGATTCTTCTATTCTTGTGATTCATCAATTCATAATATAACTAGCTCTATCCATAAAAAAAAAAATGAAATCATTCCAAACGAAGGTAAAAGAACTAAAGTAATAAAAAAAGTATTAATTTTATTTTAACTACCATCAAAATTTAATCATAATATTTTTTTATTCAATATTTTGCTTAACTTTTAATAAGATATCTTTTCAATAATCAATTAGATTTGTATTTAAATAATTAAAGCTATGTTCCAGCTACACCTCAATCTGAATAAAGGAAATCCCAAAATAAAAAAGACTTCAAAATTCAACCTCCAATCAAAGATTACTTTATTCATGATAATACAAAATAGAACTATTCAAAGACAATTGAAGTTACAAGGTAACCAGAATATGTTGAAGAAAATATGATTATTTAGATTAAAAATTTAATAGTCACCTTAGGAAATTGAAAAATCTAAATCATAAGTTTAACTAAGTTAATAAGCAGTTCAAGTTCAATGAAGAAATTAGCAAAGTTAGAAAGTATGAGGAGTAAATTAGAGACCTTGAATAAGCATTCAATCAGAAATTGTAAGAATAAAATAATACATCATTTCATACTAAAATTCGTAAGAAATATAAGAAGTTTATGAAGTTTATGAAGAATCAAACATGAGATCAAATTATTGAATAATTACAATTGTAACTTAAAGACATGTAATCATAAAATTAATAAATCGCAGAGGATTATTAAAATAATTTTAGAAATACACTAAATCAATTTTCATCTAATAAAAAACTATCGAAAATTTAAGATAATGAAAAAGATTAAGTTATTTAAGAATTGAATTCGTAATTGAAAGAAAAAAATGAGGAAAATCATTAATTGAAAGATTTTTTATCAATTTCATATTATTTTAGATTTAATTGAAAATTTTATATAATTATATCAACATATTAATGAAGAAAAATATTAATTGCAAGAGAATGTTGATAAATTAACTAAAGTAAATAATTAATTTAGAGAAATTTTTTAGTGTAATTAACATTTATCAATATAAAGTAAAATTTGCCTCTATTAGGGATTGACCTAGAATAATTAAATGAAGAAAGAGAATGTACTGAAGAAATTGTAGAAAAAACGATGATTAAAATGATTGAATTTTTATACATTCCATTTATAATAGCATTTGTATTAAAGTAAGATTCTTAATCTACATCTATCAATTAGTTCTTTTTTCGAATTGAAAGTTAAAAAATTAATTCCAATTAATATTAAAATGAATAAATATTCTCTAAGATTCGACAATCCTAAAATGGAGGAACTATATTTTTAAGATCAATTTGAAGAATTATTTAATTTTTATACTTGGGCTTGTTGTTTAGGTACTATAAGTGCTATATGTGTTTTTACTATGGAATTTATTATACCTTTTGGATTTGGTGTTTGGAAATACACATTAATTATGATCCCATTAGGCTTTGTATTGAGTCATAGATTAATAAAATATTTACCCCAATATTTTAATCCTGTTTTGGCAGCTATGAACATTTCATTAGGTGGGTTAATTTTCATTTTGCTTTATTTTTTCTCAGACTCCAACATTTTGTTTTTAGCAGGTTAAACTGTTGTAATGATTCAATACAGTTTACTTTTAGGCTCAAATATTGTAATTAACATTTTAGTTTTGTTGATAAATTAAATAGGATTGATGATATTAAGTTCAATAGTTTAAAATTATTTCAATTCTTTATAATTAATGTTTATTTTAGCATTGGCACTAGTACTAAAAGCCGTCTGGAGTAGCGAAAAGATGAAAAGATCATTTTTTTTACTGAAGCATTAAAACATTCAACTACACAAATAATTAGATAATGTTTTTTAATTAAAAATAATAAGATGTAAATTTGATAAAAAATTAAATCAATTAAAATTAGTAAACATCAATAAATAAGCAGAAAAAATTATTTAAGATCAAAAATAGTTTCTATAATTTATTAGATAATATTCTGTTGTGCTATTAAGATCGCTTTCATAACCATTCTAAGTTTTAACATCAAGTTAACGTTTTATGCAAAAATCATAAACCTTAGAATAAATCCTTTATAATATGCTTGAAGGGGAAGATAAAGAAAAGTCTTCAGAAATTTATTCAGAAATTACTAAGATTGCATATAGGATATGTATTTATAAAATCATAGAGAAAAATTAAGTTCAATTAATTATGTTGCTTCAAGAAGATAATGAATATTTAAAGATATTAAAATTAAATAAAGAGGTAAGTAAGAAAAATCGTAATTAAAGATTATTGATGGCTTGCCTTGAATATGCAAAAAAATCTTTACATTTAATAAAGTATCTATCTTCAGAAATTGTTGATAAAAACTAAAAAATGCATTCAAATTCCATAATAAATTTTAAAACAATTAAAATAATCTAGAATACTTAAGGTACACTATTTAAATCTATTCATGGTTATTATAATGTTCTTATACTTAATAGTATGCATTAGAAATTTTAGGAGACTTGTTAATTTAAAATAATGAAATTATTAAATGATTTATAGTAATTAAGGTGTATTTTTTGTAATGTTAAATAATTACCAATATATTTTGAAGGAGATAATATAGAATGCGAATCAAATTATGTATTAAGCTTGTAATTGATTTTGAATATACTTTAAGAATTCTTTTTAGATAATCCATATAAAAGCATTTTGATTAAAGTATGATTTAAGTTAATATTAGACCGAATTATTATAATATGAATAAACAAAAGTGGTTAACTATAAAATACATTTATTTGTTAATGAAAACTTAAATTTAGATAATTCCAAAAATAGAATTATTGCTAATTAATTTTACTATCTCAAAAAAGTAAACAAGAAGATTATGAAAATTATTGGATGGAATAATTAAATCACTGTAATCAATGAAAATAATTATTTGATAATTGAATATGATCTTCTACATTCTCTTAAAGAGTTTAAAGAAGCTATAAAAAAGTGATTCTTAGTTTAATTTAATTTTGAATTTTACAACATATATTTATTGATATACTTAATATTTTTGCTATGAGTTAGATATGAACATTTAATAAAAGCATAATAAAGTATAGATGATGTGAAAATAAGATTTTTATAGATTTTATATGATAATTTTGTATTAATTCATATCTTTAAAACATATATTAATTAAAATAAAATGTCTAGAGCAATTCGTAGATATGTGAATTCAAAGGAGGAAATGGAATACAACAGAGGATTCACAGCTGAAGAAATGCAAGCAGCTAAATTAAGAAAAGCATTTGTTTAAAAATATATAGCAGATTTTGATACAAATTTTTATAAGACATAAGAAGAAAGAGATTGGGGATATGTAGTAAGAAGAGAGTACATTTTTAATTTAGAAATTATAGGTATCGATATGATGTAACATATACATCAATTGTTGATGGATGGGCATGTGCAGCTGTAGTATCAATGGCTAGAATGTTTTAGACAAAGAGATTTTCATGGGCACCTTATTTTGTTGTATGGCCCATTGCTTATCTATACTTTTAACCAATTTAATTTTTGAAACATAATAAAAAATATTTTGATATGTGCAATTTGGGTGATACATATTATCTAGGAAGAGAAAGAAATAAGGTATTAGCTGAATGTAACAGAATTTTGGATAGAGAAGATTTCTGATCCTAAAAATAATATACAAATATAACATAATCTATAAATTTTTATATGATTTTATATAATTTGTTTTATTCATTCTTTCTAAAGAAATCTACGAGCCTCTGTTTCTACTAATTTTTACATTGATATATTTGAATGAATGTTTCTTAAGTATTTATTTTTTTAAAGAATTTCTTCTGCTATCTTTTTTGCAACATTTTCTAAATTCACTTCTTTTTTGTCTAGATTTTTTTAAAGCTAAAATTATTTATTTTTTATTTTACCTATTCTTCCTCTTAAATAGTAACATGTTTTTTATTTTGTTTTTAAACAGAATTATTATTCTATTTTAAAGCTTTTTTAGTTGCTTCCTTCTATGATAATTAAGGATTCTCTATTCTTATTTCTTCTATTCTCTTTTTTAAAGCTTCAACTACTGTTTTAACCTATTTTTGATAATTATAATACTTCTAAATCATTTATATATGATTCAAAGTCTAGATTCTTAGTAAAATCTAACAATTCATTTAATTCTTAATCATCAATTATTTCATCTCCTAATTCATTATTAATTGCTTATTGATTTTATTATTCTTATTATATTTCTTCAACTTTTGTTGATAGATTTTGTGGTAAAGATGCTTATTGATTTTTTTATTCATTCTATTAATTTTATTTGTCACTATTTGATCTATACCTATCAGGATGTAAACGAGATTAAACTTAAGAACAATGCAATCCAGTTTTTTTTTCTTTAACATGTTTTTAAAAATTTGATAGCCATTCTTTATGATGACTAAGTATTGGTTTTATTTCTTGATTAATGAATCATGCTATAATACATTTAATTGGTTAATGAATTTGCAGTTGTTTAACTGGATTGTAACCGAGAGGTTCAGCATGTGTTACTCTTGATACAAAAGGTCTACAAATATGTTAGATATTATTTACTTATGATAATCTAAATTAATAGATGCTTATGGTCTATTACAAAGCATTATCCCTTTATAGTGTTCCATCATGTTACAATAATATTTATAATTTATTTTATTAATAACTCAACATATATAAACAATGTTCAACAAATAACAATTCTTTGATGATCATCAATTATTTAAAAAGAAAATATGATCTAATTTATATTCTAATTTACTCAATGTGGTAAAAACAGAAATTATCGGACTAACTTCTCTAATATTATTTCAACATAGATAATTAATATTAAAATTGTAATAAATAAGTATTTGTTAAAAATATTAGTAATTATTAATGATGTTTTTTTTAAATACTACTCTTAATAGGTTTATTTAAAATATAATTCAAGATCTATAAATATTTATTACCATATTTTCAAATATTATATAAGATTTGAAAGACAAAAAAATTTTATTAAATATAACTGTATATACTGTATATACAATTTTACAGAATTTTCTTAATAATGAATTGCAGAATTGATTATTATATAATAAAGATAATATTCATTTATATTTAGTTATAAAATTTGGAATTAATTTAACAGCAATATTGTTTAAATGATAGCTTATCGTAATGGAATCTATTAAGGATCTTTAGAAAATGGTATATAAGAGGGAATTGGAATATTCTGGTGACCTCAAGGAGCAATATATATAGGGGAATGGCACAAAGATATTATTCATGGGGAAGGAATAATAATGATAAATGATTATGTTATAAAGGCTTTATTTAAGAATAATAAATTTCATGGTTATATGTTAACTATACGTATAAATGCAGGAATAAATTTAATAGTTAGAATGAATTTTATAGATTTCAATATGGATAATTATATGGGAAATGTTTAAGAGGATAAACAGTTTCTGTTTATACAAGATGTGATTAATTTGCATTGAAAATAACTTAGATTCAATCGATATATTATTAGTTAATATTTAAATTGAATTCAAAAGATGAATATTAAAATATATTATCAGATTTAGATGAGATATTAGACAGAAATAAATGTACATCAATAGGAATTACAGAAACTCATCTTGGTAAAATGAAAAGAGGAAAACCATTTGGATTAGAAATTGAAAATATGTTTCCTTCAGATAAAAAAATAGTGATTTTCTTGATTAATACATTTCAGATATTGGATAGATGTAGAAAAATGGAGATATTTATATAAGAAAACAAATTTCATGGAATAGGAACTTATTTTATATCTATAAAACAAATTATCAATCTAGGCTGAACTTAAAATGATTCAAGGTATTTTTTGCCGATGAAAATGTTAAAATGTTAAGAAATCTTAAAAACATAATTGGAAACATATAAATTATTGGCTGAGTAAACTTTTTAAGCTGTCTAAACAAATACAATTTATATATTCCTTTTCTTTTCTTTAATTTAGTCAATTTGATATACTTCATACTTAAATTTCTAATAGTATTTCATTGATTCCAACTTAAATGTAAGAGAAAGAAAATCAAACACTTTTAGAGGTTGATTTAGATCTTCAAAAATAGTTAGAAATAGAAAATTTATAAATAAGCTAAAAAAGTAAAAAAATTTCAGGACACATATAAAAAACTGAATTTTATCATATTTCTGATTCAAAATAGAATTCTAATCTTTACAAAGATTACCTATTTAAGTTTTTAAAGAATTTAGATAACAAAAATCAAAACAATGAATATGAAAAGTCTATAAAAATGATTACAATTAATGCATGATCTGATCCTTAATTTTAGGTACTTAATACAACAAGAAGATTTCTGCATAATCAATGATAATATTTTGAAT